ACGTTAATCTTCAGATAGAGCTGGAGGGAGAGAGGGAGGAAGAGAGAGAGAGAGAGAGAGAGAGAGAGAGAAACATCGATGGAAGAGACACATCGATTGGTTGCCACCCGCACAACCCCAAGCAGTGCCAGGACGAACCGCAACCCCGGTACGAGCCCTTGGCCGGAATTCAACCGGGGACTCTTTGGTCCGCGGGTGACGCTTTTACCACTGAGCCATACCAACCAGGGACAAAACTTGAATCTTTATAGGAATTTAAAATAGGATATGTTTCAGTAGAGATATGGAGAACTATGGATACTACATGAATCTTTTTTTTTTTTTTTAATCCTCATTCGAGGGCATTTTTCCATTTTTTTGTACAGACAGAGTGGGCGGGAGAGAGAGGAAGAGAGAGAGAGAGGGAAACATCAACGTGAAAGGGACACATCGAGTGGCTGCCACCCGCACGACCAACCAGGGCCAGGGACAAACTGCAACCGAGGTACATGCCCTTAGCGGGAGCCGAACCCGGGCCTCTCCGGACCGCAGGTGGACGCTCTAACCGCTGAGCCAAACCGGCCAGGGCAGTCTTTTTTAAAGTATGAATTTATTAACGTGTGTTTTCTAATACCTTAGATCTTGTTCACTTAGATTTTACTATATTTTATTATGATTTACAAAAATGGCACCACAAAAAATTTTAGGATTTAGTAAAAGAAAAGAATAAAACCGTATAATTCCACCATGCTATCACAATTACTGTATTCACTTTGATGCATTTTCATTAAAATTTTTTTATATGCATACTTCCTTTAAGTAGAATTACCATACATTCAATTTTATATAATGTACTCCCCCCCTTAATTCTGTCCTAGTCTGGGCATTTTATAGCTTTTATTTTTTATTGTTTTTTCTTTATTGATTTTAGAGAGAGGAATGGAGAGGGAGAGTTAGAAACATCGATGAGAGAGAACATCGATTGGCTGCCTCCTGCATGTCCCCCACTGGGGACTGGGCCCACAACCTGGGCATGTGCCCTGATTGGGAATAGAACCAGCGACCTCTTGGTGCATGGGTTGATGCTCAACCACTGAGCCACACTGGCTGGGCTATGCACTTTTCTTTTAACATTAATATGTTAACTGTCATTTTTAAATTTTATTTTTGAATTTTAAAATTCCAGTTGACATTCAGTATTATTTTATATTAGTTTTAGGTATACAGCATAGTGGGTAGACGTTTTATATAATTTATAAAGTGATCTCCCTGGTAAGTCTCGTACCCAGCTGGCACCACACATAGTTATAACAATATTATTGACTATAATCCTTATACTATACTATAACCATTATTTTTAATGATTGCTTCATATAGTTCGAATAACCTTTAGTAAAATTTACTTAGTTTTTCTGTTCAGGATTTTTAGGTTGCTTTGAATTTTTGCTATTGTAAATGATGTTGCTCAACATGCTTATGTGTTATGTGCAACCTCTCCCAGATTTCAGTTGGCTGAAATAAAATTTCAAAATATATAAGATTGAAGATTGAAAAGAGTTTTTAAAAATGATTTACAATATAAGTACATTAATAACAAAAGGAGGTAGAGACTAGTACTTTTCAGACTTACCTTTGTTTCATTTGGCTTCATAAACAATACTTGATTGGTTGTTAGACTAGCCCTGTGATAATAGATGTTCAGAATGATATTTTTAAAAAGTAAAATAGTTTTCTTTATGGAACAAATTAAATTAGTGAGGCAACAGTTTTTGGTTCCATCTGTTAGTATCAAAGATGTGCTCATAGGTTTAGATATTAAAGTCAAATTTAAACACCTTTAAACTCTACATCTCTTGAATTACTTAATCTTTTTTTCTTTTATCCTCACCAGAGGATATTTTTCTGCAAACAGAGTGGGAGGGAGAGAGAGGGAGAGATAGGGAGAGAGAGAGATACCAAGGTGATAGGGCATGGAGAACTGCAACTGAGGTATATGACCTTGACAGGAATCAAACCCTCAACTCAGTGGTCTGACACTACCGCTGAGCCAAACCGGCCAGGGCAAATTACTTAATCTTTAAATGCAAAGTTTGTATTTAGGTAATATTGGAAATGATAATAACCAACATTTATTGAGTGCTCTTATTTCAGGGACTCAAGATAAAGCTGAAATTTGTGGAAAAATGATTTTCTATATTTGGATCCTTGGTGGGTGGAAACCATATGGGCAGATTTCTAGTTATAAAATGAAGGTTCTGTTGGTTTAATTAACTGAACAATTGACTGGAAACAGTTTTGGAGGACTTTTTTTTTTTTTTGTCTTTGAGTGGAAATGTCCCAAGTTGTTTACCTTTTGCAAACAAAGCACTAGTAAACAAAGCTTTGCTTATCTGTTTATTTTACTTACAAATTTTTAAAAATGCTGGAATAACTTTATTATCAAAGTAACCCCCCGCCCAGGCTGCCCAAAGAGATAATAAACAAATGTTGCATTGTGTTGTTGGTTGTCTGTTTAGTTACTAGACTTTGCAGTAAAAGCCATTTGTGTGTGTGTGTTTGTTTCATTTCCTTTTAGTAATCCAGTCTTCTTGGAGTGCCTCTCAGGAAGACACAGTATAACAGACCTTGCCATCAGTGTACTTAGAGTATTGATGTTGAACCATTTGGCTTAAAAAAAAAGATGCCTGGCCCTGGCCGGTTTGGCCTAGCGGTTGGAGCGGTGGCCTGTGGTCCGGAGAGACCTGGCTTCGGTTCCTCCTGGGGTCGCGTGCCTTGATTGCAGTTTGTTCCCGGCCCTGGTTGGGTCGTGTGGGTGGCGGCCGCTCAGTGTGTCCCTTTCGTGTAGATGTTTCTCTCTCTCTCTCCCCCTCCCACTCTATCTGAGCAAAATGTGGAAGAGTGTCTTCAGGTGAGGATTTAAAAAAAAAAAAAAAAAGATGCCTGTGGACTATATTATTATTGTAATATCAAATACTGAGAACATGTAATTTTATTAATATTAATTCTTGTAATAATAGAAGCCTATGCCTTATCAATTTATATTTTTTCCTCCTTTGGAGGTTAATGGAGGCATAGAAGTATGCTTTCCACATGAAAGCACCTTTCTTTGATTTGAAATTTTAATACATAGTATAAATATGGATATATCTGAAAATATAAGTAATTTGGATTTTACATTTTAAGCTTTTTAAAATGTCAAAATTATACCAATAAAGATATATTGATATTTTGCTACTTAAAAATATCCTAATACTGTGTTCGCTTCGGCAGCACATACACTAAAATTGGAACGATACAGAGAGATTAGCATGGCCCATGCACATGGATGACACACAAATTCGTGAAGCGTTCCATATATATATTTTTTTTATCCTCACCCGAGCATATTTTTCCAATTTTTTGTACAGATAGAGTGGGAGGGGGAGAGAGAGAGAGAGAGAAACATCGACGTGAAGGGACACATCGAGTGGCTGCCACCCGCACGACCAACCGGGGCCGGGGACAAACTTGCAACCGAAGTACGCGCCCTTAGTGGGAACCGAACCCGGGTCTCTCCGGACCGCAGGCCGACACTCTAACCGCTGAGCCAAACTGGCCAGGGCATGCGTTCCATATTTTTTAAAAAAAGAAGAAAAAAAGTCCTAATATCATAAAATGCTGGAATCTTTAACAAGCAGTTCAGCTGTCCTGAAGAGGGGAATTGTGGGCATGGGGCAGGGTAGAGGGGTACTCTCAAAGTGAGACTTGACTGGAAGTTGGATATTTATTATTTTTAATGTCTATTTCAGTTAAAGAGAATCTAGATTGTTTTGTGTGCCTATATTATATCAGTGGGGTATAAATTACTTTCATTGTAATTGAAAATGTTTATAGTTTACTCTTAGCACCTCTGCAAATCTGTTATTAATGTTTTCATAAAGTAGTGACATTTTTTAAAGAATGATAATTTAAAATATGAAGTATAACTGAATAGTAAATATAGTATGTACAACTAGAATTAGTAGCTTTAAAGTCCAAGTTACATTTCTAAATTTTGCATGTAATTTTTCCCCTACCCAGATCCCCAGAAAATCTCTTTATTGCTGTTACGTTTTTTGCAATCCTCCAGCTTCCTTCTTTATCTTTCTAAGCTCCCGTTGGTGTTAGTCTGATCATTGAGTCGAGGGGCGTTAAGTTTAGTATATTAGACCTGTAAGATATAGGTAGTATCCTGCTTGTCATTTACTAATAGCATGACATTGGGCAAGTCTAAGTCACTTAATCTAAGCCTTATTTTGTTTCTATTTAAAATGAATATATTTTATCCTGCCCTTCTCAGAGTTATTTGGGGATGACACAGTATATATGATAGTGTTTTAGAAACATGGTTTTCTACACAAGCATATCCAATAAGCAATTTGTATCTTTTTTTTTTGTCATTCCCACCAAGTTATATGTATGTACTTTTTCCTATTTTGATGATAAATTTAATGCATTCTTGTAGAAAGTCTGGAAAATACAGAAAACTTAAGGAAGAAAATAGAAATCTGAACAATGCATCATCCTGTTTTCATGTTTTTATGGGAAATTTAGTTTTGAGGCTGAGTTCTCTGAAGGTAAGGATAGTTAGTGTCTTATTTATTTTTGGATTTTCTATTCTTTGCACTGTACACAAAATTAATGATTGTCACGCGAATGGCAACTTCCTTAGTCTGGGTGCATTTCTTATTGTCAAAAGCTTGGTGAAATTTTACTGGGCATTTGAATAGAGAAAAGAAGACCTCTAACCAACAAAAATAATAGTGGATGCATGTTTTAAAATGACTATTTCTGTGAGCTAAAAGAACAAAGGAAAACATAATAAGGTCAATCCTAATATTCTCTGACAGGGAGTCAGTTAAAGGTATTGGAATTATGCCAATGGGAAATTTTATATCAGAGTTAATTAACATTTATTCAGTGAGAACAATTATAAAATGCAAAGACTTTTTTAAATACTTGGAAATTGTAACAACTTTCTTTTTGTTGTTGTTGTTAAATAGGATGGCTTAAATTCCTTGGTCCTTGATTTGGATTTTCCGGCCTTGAGGAAAAACAAGAATATAGATAATTTCTTAAATAGATGTAAGTATATTAAGCTTTATATTTGATCCCATAAGTATACTTTGATAAGAGATTTATATTTGGTTAATATTATTAAAATCCCTAAACTTATTAATTTATTAAACTTAAGTAATTTTTAGCTTGCCACTTGATTTATTTAAATACTAATATGGTTTATTTTCGAAGCAAAACTGCAGAACCAATTGTAGCATATAAAGTAGGTAAAGTTCAAGGTTTATTTATTTAATTTTTTGTTGTTGTTAATCCTCACTTGAGGATATTTTTCCATTGATTTTTAGATAGGGGTGGGGTGGGGAGAGAGAGAGAAACATCGATGTGAGAGAGAAATAGGTTGCCTTCCTCACAACCCAACCAGGGCCGGCGATCAAACGTGCAACCCAGGTATGTGCCCTGGACTGGGAATTCAACCCAAGACCCTTTGGTCCGAGGGCCAGCACTCTAACTGCTGAGCCAAATCAGCCAGGGCTAAAGTTCAAGATTTTGTATAAATTATTAAGACAAGTGGTTTCAGGACAGGTTATTTATGGCAGTTCCAAGAGAAGTTTTAGATTAATATTAACAACTCTAAGGCTTACCTTTACATTATCCAGAAGACTTAATGAGCTTTGTTTGTATAAATGTAGACATTTCAGTCTAGTTAGTGAAAGATAATGTAATAACAATTTTTGCCTTGTATGTGTTAACTCTTAATAATAGTTGGTACTGATGTTGCTATGAAGATGTAAATGAAGTTGAATTCTAAGAATAATTAAATTTTAAAGTAACTAATATATACTTTATATCAACACAGAAGTTCGTTAATTTGGAATTGTCAGAGACTGGACTATTTTCCTAATTCAACAATCTTGTCTACAGCTACCATATCTATAATATGTGATTACTAAAGAAGTAGTCTTCCAAAAAATCATTACTAAGAATAGCCCTGCAAGTACTTTTATAGTCGCTTTCTCCCATGATTTAGAATGCACTCAGGATAGCTTGGGTCATCACTGTTTCAGCTGTCATCTAACTTGCCGAACAACAGAGTCAAATAGAATAGGTTAACTGCTACTTTTTTGGTAGTCAATAGTGTTTGTTTATATGTGTTAATAAACCATAGCATTTTGGTTCTTTGACATAAAGTTAATGTGTACCTTCGATTTTTATTTATTTATTTATTTTTTCCTCACCCGAGGACATTTTTCCATTTTTTTGTTCAGATAGAGCGGGAGGGAGAGAGAGGAAGAGAGAGAGAGAAACATCGATGTGAAGGGACACATCGAGTGGCTGCCACCCGCACGACCAACCAGGGCCGGGGACAAACTGCAACAGGGGCACGTGCCCTTAGCGGGAACCGAACCCGGGTCTCTCCGGACCGCAGGCCGACGCTCTAACCGCTGAGCCAAACCGGCCAGGCTGTATCTTCGATTTTGAAATAGCAACCTTTAAAAACTGACAGATTTAGCTGAAAACTAAGCCATTTCTTGAAGTAAGTTTGTTGAAAACATAATGATTACTTAAAAATATTGTTTATAATTATGATGATTAATATTACAAATAACAAATATTATCTTTTAATTGTAGATGAGAAAATTGTGAAAAAAATCAGGGGTCTACAGATGAAGGCAGAAGACTACGATGTTGTAAAAGTTATTGGAAGAGGTGCTTTTGGTGAAGTCCAGTTGGTAAGAAAATGTTTGTATTGTTCTTTTTATTATTTTTTTAAATATGTTATTTATTTTTTTATTGTTGAAAGTATTAGAGATGTCCCTCCTTTCTCCTCACATTGATCCCCCCGCCTCCCCGCTCCTACCCCTCTCCTGCTTTCCCCAATATTATTATTATTTCGACGACGTAGTTTTGTGAAGCATGATCACTAGCCCTGGAGTAGATCTCATTTCTGTGCCCAGCCATGCCCGGGTTAGCTTCCTGAGGGGTGGCGTTATTCTGTCCCCGAGAGCCTCGGTGCCCATCTGCAGAGAGGGGTAGCTGTGCTGTGAGCACCAGGCCTACCAGCTCTGGACAGGGCTAGAAGAGGGCCAGCTCGGCTCACACGCGGTCTGCCTAGTGACTGCCCTAGGACGAATGTGTTCTGCGTAGGGTGTTCGTATTGACAACGTCTCTGCTTGATTAACTGAGGTTTATTTAGATATATGAGAAAGCCAACAAAGACACTTTAATGACTGGAACTTATCTTTACCGGCCAAAGTGTACCAACTGGAAATATTATAAATGTTTGCAATATTTCATTTATAGTATTAAATGAGGAACTATAATAATATTCCTATTTCTATCAACTGAGTATGAAACTCCTGTTCGTGTCCGTTTAGTTGAATTATGGAGTAAAATTCTGTTTTTCACTCAATAGTGTTTTACTCTTCTTGACTGAGCACCAAGAAAAGCAGTGATTACTAAGTACCAGCCTGGGTTTCTCTAGTTTGCCTTTTTCTTCCCTCTTTCTTTAATATGTTTATTGAACTGGTAGATCAGGGCAGTGCAGTAGGTGTAATATATATCTACAATAGATTTGAATAAGTCTGACATACTTGATGCTATGGAGAAATGTCAGTGAATAAGCATATGGGTAGGCGGCTTTATACTAATTTTTTCTTTTATTGATTTTAGAGAGAGAGGAAGGGAGAGGGAGGGAGAGATAGAAACATCAGAGAGAGAGAACATCTATTGGCCACATCCTGCATGCCCCCACTGGGGATGGGGCCCACAACCTGGGCATGTGTCCTGACTGGGAATCAAACTGGTGACCTCCTGGTGCATGGGTCAATACTCAACCACTGAGCCACACAGGCCGGACAGCTTTATACTAATTTAATAGCTATGTTCTAATGAGGCTGATGAAGGCATGAATGGTACCTTGGACAGAGATCTCCAGGGACTGGTTCTAGGGTTCTCTCTTATTAATGAAAACATGTAAGAAAATTTATTTTCCAATCCACTTACTCCAGTTCAGGGTTGAGGGTGGCCAGAGCCTATCCCAGAAGCTCAGGGCACAAGGTGGGAACCAACCCTGGACAGGATGCCATTTCATTGTAGGGTGCACTCACACACACTCCCACCCTCACTCAACATACTAATTAACCTAATGTGCACATCTTTGGGATTGGGAGGAAACTGGAATACCCAGGGAAAGCGTACAGAGACATGGGGAGAACATGCAGGCTCCACACAGACAGTAGCTCTGACCAGGAATTGATATTTTTCCCCCCTCATCAACATTATAACAAACCAGTGTTGAGCAAAACAACACTATTCAAGGGCCTGCTGTAATTCCTAAAGGCTAGACTCCTGTTTCTTTGTTTGACATTCTCTCCCAAGGTGAGCTCTTGCATTCCTATGACTTTAAATACAATTGTATAATGTCAAGGTTCAAATTTATTGCTACTGTTCAGATCTTTCTACTTTGCTCTTCAACTCACATGTACAATGGCTTATTTTACATCTTCATTAAGATGTGTCATAGATAACTAAACCATGTGAAATTAGAATGCTAGATTACCTCTCTAATGAATCATTTGGCATGTATACAGCTGTTGCCTCTTAATGTTTGTTCTGTAGTTCAAGTCAATGACTCGTAAGCTGGTAGTACCTAACTGTTGTATTATGAGCCAGTTAGGTATCTTATCACAATAGTTAACATGAAATTCATGCTTCATTAACTAGAGCATCTACCCAAAATAATCTGTTTATTAAAAGTTTTACAGATCTGACATAGATATGATTTTATTGAATTTGTTGAATGGGACAAGTCAGCATTACACCAATCACTAGGCATCCTTACATATAAAAGTTTATATTCTGTTCCTGAAGGAGTTTATGGAACAAACATGTACACAACTAATAATATTAGTTTATTATAAGTATTATGGAAGCGCAGAGAAGGAGATAGTTTTGCATAAAGAATCATCAAAAGTAAAGTCAATAAACATTTTTCTCATGTTTAGAAAATTATCTTATGCCTGTTTTATGTCATTTTTTTGTTTATTTGAATGAATGGCCTTTTTCTTCTAGTTTTGTTTTTGTTTGTTCTTTAGTTAATTCATCTATAAAAAATTAAACATACAGATATTTAACTATTTTCTACCAGCTGACAAAATATCTTTTAGTTTCTGTTCACAGCTGTGCTTTATAGCATAGTTCTTAAAACTCTTTTATGGTCTGAGTCAAACAAATAATATTACAGTATAAATTAATTGATTAACTCAATGTTATATGGATTGCTTCTTCTAATAAAGTTAGGAAACATTTTAAATTTAATTTGTTCTTATATTAAGTGAAGTTTAGAAGAGTGACATAAATGTAGAAGAGGAAGTACTTTAGCAACCTTTTTAACAACATTTTAAACATTTTTTAAAATAACAAATAATAGCAGAGCTAGAATGAGCATTTGCTTTGAGATAATTTGCTAATTCAACATAAATCAATTAAAAATCTGGTCTATCTGCTATGGAAGATATTTGTAGTTTTAAGGAGAGGATCCTTTATACCTTAATCCTCTGCTCCCCATCCATGTTTTTATATTGCTTTTCCATGTGTTTATTTTCAGCATTCTATAAATGTCATAACATTATACAAATCAAAGGAATTGTTATTCCAGTTTAATAAGTTAATATAGAAGATGGATGTAATCTTTGACTCGCATCATAACTTATTTGGCCCTTTGCATGTATGACTCTTTTCATGTAAAGTTACATTATATCAGTATATCAAAAATACTTCAATGATAAGTGATGTAACCTATTGATGTACTAACTTTTATATTTTTAATTTGATTAAGCAATTTTCATTCTGGGCTGTATTTTCTTCATAGCCATACTGAAGTTTTGTTTACTTGTTGTATCAAGTACTGAGAAGAGATGTTAAAATTTCCAATTGAAATTGTGGATTTCTCTGTTTTTTATTTTCTTTAATGCTGTCAATTTTTGCTTCATGAATTTTCAAGCTCATTTATTATATGCATACATATTTAGAATTTTTATGCCTTCCTGGTGGACTATACTCCTTTTATCTGAATTATCTTTTTTTCTTTGCTTTCAAGTCTACTTTGTTATTAATATTGCTCTGTCTACTTTCTTATTCTTGCTGTTTGTATGGTATATCTTTTTCCATCCTTTCATTTTCAACCTATTTGGTCTTTTTTTTTCCTTCCTTTATTGATTTTTTAGAGAGAGATTTTTGTGTGGTATTATTAGACTTTGTTAGGGAGTGTTAGAGTAGGCCTTGGTTTAGAACATGGTTCTTTCCCCTAATCTCATCTGTTCAGAAAATTGGCAAGGTTTCTCCACTGTTGTTTGGCTGGAAATCGAATGTTTTTCCAGTGCTGTTGAAACTGTAGTGTCTCTGTTCTGTTATCAATCCCATAGCATTCGCTCTCTAGTAAATTTTTGGTACTTTCTCTTTGGATAGTTCAGCCCTTAGCCAAGGACTCACATAATACTTCTAGGGACCTCGCTGTGCATAACTGTTTTTTTTGTTTTGTTTTGTTTTGCTTCTTTATTGATTTTAGAGAGAAAGGAAGAGAGAGAGAGAAACATCAATGAGAGAGGACACTGATTGACTGCCTCCTGCATACCCCACACTGGGGATTTGGCCCACAGCCTGGGTATGTGCCCTGACCAGGAATTGAACCAGCGACCTCTTGGTGCATGCATGGGTCAACACTCAACCACTGAGCCACACTGGCTGGGCCTGCATAACCCTTTTCTTTCCTATTTTCTGCCCAGCATAATCCCCCTACCTCATATCATCTGTTTTGAACTCTAATCTCTGCTTTTTCAACTCAGCAGGATTACTGTGCTTAGTTTAGGTGATCACTTTATGCTGATTAAGACAGTGTTTGGGCAGTTATGGTGTTGACCTGGTTAATTTATCTTTTCTCAGGGATTATTGTCTTATGCTGCCTATTTGACAAAGCCTGAATACAGTTGGTTCACATGTTTTGCCATTTTGATGATAGTTTACAGTGGGAGGGCTAACAGTTACTAGTTACTCTACCCTAGCCAGAAGTACATGATTCTGAGTGATAACATATTTATTTGTATTTACTGTTTCATGCTTAGACTTGTCTTTTTTGTCAGTGGTATGTTCAAGTTCATTCAACAAATTACATTTCTTACATGGGTTGAAGGTGCTCTCTACTAAAGAGGTATACAGCACTGTATGATTTTCTAAAATTTTATATATATATATATATATATATATATATATATATATAAATATATAAATAAAATTTTATTTTATTTTATAAAGTATCTGATCTGGCCCTGGCTAGTTTGACTCAGCAGTTTAGAGTGTTGGCCTGTGGACCAAAGAGTTGCAGGTTCGATTCCAGTCAAGGGCATGTACCTTGGTTGCGGTTCAGTCCCCAGCCCTGGTCAGGGTTTTGCAGGAGGCGACCAATGTGTCTCTCTCACATCGATGCCCCCCCCCCCCCCCCCGTCCCTTCCTCCAACTCTGTCTGAAGATAAATGGAAAAAATATCCTCGGGTGAGGATTTTAAAAAATAAATAAAGTATCTTATTTGTAAAGTACGATGGTTCTTCCGTGATATATATATATATATATATATATATATATATATATATGTATTCCTTTGGTTGACCTTATTTTAATTAATACTATAAAAGTATTGATTCTGTCTTTTTTTTTTTTTATCCTCACCCGAGGACATTTTTTCCATTTTTTGTTCAGATAGAGTGGGAGGGAGAGAGAGAGAGAAACATCGACGTGAAAGGGACATGTCGAGTGGTTGCCACCCACACAACCCAACCAGGGCCGGGGACAAACTGCAACTGAGGTACATGCCCTTAGCGGGAACCGAACCTGGGTCTCTCAGGACCGCAGGCCAACGCTCTAACCGCTGAGCCAAACCGGCCAGGGCTAAAAGTATTGATTCTATATGTGGATAATACTTGATGAAAGATAACTAGAAATATTACCTGTTGATTATTTTCTCATAACTAGAATTTATAGTTTAGCCAGTTAGCAAATATAAAAAATTTTTGTAGACATTAATTTATTCATCAAATATTTAGTGAGTGTCTTTTAATTGTCAGTGATGGCATTGTATTTGTCACTGAGGGTATAATGGAGAATAACATAGGCATGAATATTCTTTACCTTTGTTGAGCTTACGTTCTAATATGAGAGACCAAAAGTAAATACAAGGAAACAACATCAAAAAATTGTAAGTATGGTAACTGCTAGGAAGAAAACAATGGCGTTAGAGGGTAGAGAGCCATGAATTCCTACTTTGGATAGAGTGGCCACTCATTTGAGGAGTTTATATTTCAGCTGAGAGGAGAAGGAGCTAGTCTCTGGGTGAGATGTGAAATCAGGGGACTGTGATAGATTTTCTAGTACCTTCCAGGTGCTAGTAAAGAGCCTCAGGAAAGGTATATTAGAGGAACTGAAAGAAGGTAAGTGTTCTTGAAGTATGAACAAGAGGAAGGAAGTGGCGAGATTTAAATTGGGAAGGTAGAAATAGGCTCGATCGTTTAGGTCTCTCTCTAATCTGTAATCAGGAGCTCGATTGCCTACCTTCTTTCCTCCAACCCTCAGTAGGGTGGCCATATAATTTGTTGCACAAAAACTAATACATCTGAGTGCAAAGGAGCACTAAGTGAATGGAAGACTGATTCAACAGATATAATTTGGCCTCGTTCTGGGAAAGGCATCCTAATTTGGGTGTACATATTCTGGATGCAGACACACAAGTTACTTAATTTTTCTGTGCCTCAAATTTCTCATTTGTAACAAGGGGAAATAATACCTCATTAGGATTGTTTTGAAGATTGAATAAGGTAATACATGTATTCAAAACACACTGTGCCAGGCACATAGTAAGCATCACTCAGTAAATCCAGTCTTTCAACAAATACTTATTGAAAGGTTATTATGTGCCAAGCATAATCTTAGACCCTCACAATTAAGCAATGAACAAAACAGAAATCCTTACCTTCTTTGGGTTTAAATTCTAGTGCTGAGAGACAATACAATAAGTAGATATAAGATATTAATAAGTGCAGTGGAACAAAAGCAAGGAAGAGAAAATGGAATAGGGAATGTGTGGGCAGCAGAGGGGGGGGATGAGATGAAAGTTGAAGTAGCTTAATCAGAATAGATCTCACCAAGACAGTAACATGAGAGGAGGGATTTGAAGGAAGTAAGGGACTGGGCTCTCCTGTAAGAGGTGATTCCAGGCATGGAGGACAATACATGCAGAGATGAGATGGGAAGCAGGAGTGACAGGAAATGGTTTATATTTTTTATATTTTAGAGGGATCACCAGATTGTTGGTGGATGAGAGTGGCAGCAGGAAAACTAGGTGAGACTGACTATTGCAGGAAATAGAAATAAAAGATGTCAGACCAGGGTGGTATCAATGGAGGTAGTTAGAAATGGTTGGATTTGGAAACTGAATGTAGGACTGACATGTCCTAGCTGATGTGGCTCAGTGGTTGAGCATCAACCCATGCACCAAGAGGTCGCTGGTTCGATTCCTGGTCCAGGTTGTGGGCCCAATCCCCAGTGGGGAAGGCGTGCAGGAGGCGGCCGATCGATGTTCTCTCTCATCAATGTTTCTATCTCTCCCTCTCCCTTTCTTTTTTTTTTTATCCTCACCCAATGACATTTTTCCATTTTTTGTTCAGATAGAGTGATAGGGAGAAAGAGAGAGAGAGAGAGAGAGAGAGAGAGAGAGAGAGAGAGAGAGAGAGAGAGAGAGAGAAACGAAATATCAATGTGAAAGGGACACACATCGAGTGGCTGCCACCCGCACGGCCAACCAGGGCCGGGGACAAACTGCAACTGAGATACGTGCCCTTGGCGGGAACTAAACCCGGTCTCTCTGGACCGCAGGCTGACGCTCTAACCACTGAGCAAAACTGGCCGGGGCTCCCTCTCCCTTTCTTTCTCTCTAAAGTCAATAAAGAAAAAAAATTTAGAAAGTAGGACTGACATGATTTGCTAATGAGTTTGATAAGCTGTATGAGAGGAGCCAAGGGGAGGATGAAGATACCATTTACTGAAATGAGGAAGACTAGAAAGGATAAATTCAGGGGTGAAGATTTGGAGTTCAATTTTGGACATCTTGTTAGATATCCAAGTGTAAATGTTAGCAGTTATTATTTATGACCTAATAAATATTAATTATTATAATCATTAAATATTTATTGGCTCTGTGAGTTTGGTATGTTATATTCTAGGATTGCAATGACAGTCAGAATAGACACTGTCCTTGCCCTTAAAGAATTTATAGTCTAATGAAAAAGATAACAATTGATCAAATAACGATATTGTTGATAGTTTTTTCCTTTAAAAATAACACCTCTTAAATAGGAAAGAAAGAAAGATGACAAAATTACAACTATTCTTTGCTATCTACATTTATTAGGTTCTTATGTTCAGATAGTGAGAGATACATATACATATCTTATATTATCATTTAATAATATTTAATCTTTTTTTTTGTGGTATGTGCCCCTAGCAGGAACTGAACCCGGGACTCTATGGTCCGCAGGCCGACGCCCAACCGCTGAGCCAAACTGGCCAGGGCTAATATTTAATCTTAAAGTTGGTTAGCTTAATTAACATGAGAGAATGAAGCTTCGTGAATTTAGCTTTATTTAGATGAAATGAGAGTTATATTTTGAACCTAGCATTTAAAGGCATGGTATGTTTCATGAAATATTTAGACTGTTGAGAGTTTTCTTCTCTGTCTCTTTCATTAAAAATGTTATACTTTTACTTTTTATTAGTTAGCTAAGGATCATTTTGTTTTGTAACTAAAGTTTTTTAATAATAGTATTATAGTGATTTGTTGTTCACCTTTCTCATAAAATTAAAATATTAATAATTTTTATGTTTTCAAAATCATTAGGTTCGTCATAAAGCATCACAGAAGGTTTATGCCATGAAGCTTCTTAGTAAGTTTGAAATGATAAAAAGATCAGATTCTGCTTTTTTCTGGGAAGAAAGAGATATTATGGCCTTTGCCAATAGTCCTTGGGTGGTTCAGGTAAGCATACTAATAAGTTTATTTTTCTCTTTTATAAGTGCTTATCATTCCTAATTACTAATTTTGTATGCTGAATATTCTATATTTCCTGACAGTACAGTTATTTATTTTATTTTTTAATCTTTAATGGCTTTAGAGGGAGAGAGAGATGGAAACATCGGTAAGAGAGAACATCAATTGGCCGCCTCCTGCATGCCCCACAACCTGGGCATGTGCCTTGACCAGGAATTGCACCGGTGACTTCTTGGTGCATGGGTTGATGCTCAACCACTGAGCCACACCAGCTGGGCGACAGTGCAGTTATTGTTAATAAGATCTAATTCAGTATGCTTGTTTAAGAAGTATGCCATATAGACATGACATATAATACTTAACATTTGTGTTAGGAAGCAAGTATTACTTGCAACTTTTTCCTTTTTAATTCCTTTATAAAGAATTGTGTTGGGTTGGTTAAAAGTATGCCATTATTTCCTGCCTACTCTTTCTTATGATTTATGTAATAAAACAATAATCAGCCTATCTCAAAGCAAGACAAAAAAAACCTTCATGCAATAAAGATTTTGAAAATTATTTTACAGTTTTTTTATATATTACCTATAATATAAGACAGCCTTGGTGTTCCTAATTCAGCCTTGTATTTGACTCTTAAGTAAGGAATTAATGATTTTATGTTACCTTCTTTTCTAATTTTCTTTTTTCATCCTCACCCAAGGACATTTCTGCATCTATCTTCAGATAGAGTGGGACGGAGAGAGGGCGGAAGAGAGAGAGAAACATCGATGTGAGAGATACACATTGAGTGGTTGCCACCCACACGATCCCAACTGGGACTGGGGACAAACTGCAGCCGAGGTATGTGCCCTTAGTGGGAGCTGAACCCGGGACTCTCTGGTCCAAGGGCTGATGCTCTAACTGCTGAGCCAAACCGGCCAGGGCTATGTTACCTTCTTTTCAGTTATATTCCGCACTAGCTTTGTTTCTCTAAATAGTTTTTTATACTAATATCTAATTTTACAAACATTTTGAACAAGTGTATGAATAAGATTAGGTATATACCATTGCATGTTGACAATGCTTAAATGATCTGGGAGTTTGATACTTTGCTTGTGGAAGGCAATTTAGAGGTAAAAAAAAATTGCCACATTGATGACTGTGTATTGTAATAGCCTGCTACTGTTGTTTTGTTATGATGTTGAGTTTCAGCACTGCTCCTCTTTTATGTTTTTATTGTATTCAGTGAATAGAAATTCTGGTAATGTACAGCTAAAATTAAAATTTTTATAGCACATCATATATCATGATAATTTACCCGACTAAGGAATGATTGCGATAAATTATTCCATTTTTAGCTTTAAATTGCTTTTATAGTAGCAGAGTCATTGACATTTTTAGTTTTTCATTCTATAAATTGATGTCTTTGATATTTAATTCTGCTAAATGGACCTTTATAAAGTGTTCATTGGCATTGTGTGCTCATGGCTATTTGGATGTCAGTGCTCTCAGGCATCCTCAGTGGGTTGAGTTTGCGCGCGTGCACACACACGCACAGCTGTATTTCTTCCTGTGTCCATTATAGATATTGAAAACCATGAGTTCACATTGATACTTCATAGTCTAACACCATAGGTTCATTTTAGTTTTATTCCTGTCAGTATTTTTGACTTGTTTCTCCAATTGTGGGAAATGAGGCTTCCATTATTTTTAATACATTTAAATAGTTGATCAACTTACCTGGGTATAACCTGCATAACCAGTCTCTATCTTTGCTGCCCCTGTTTCCTCTCTCTATGAACCCCCCTCTTTTCTCTACTGGAGCTCTGATTTTTCCTTCCTGGACACCTCTTCCCTCCTCATCCTCTTTGGGCTCTGATATTTCATGCCAGACTTCCCTTCTGCCTGGATGTCCTCATCAACCTGCTTGGGCCTTAATACCCCAAGGCAGCCATCCTCATGCACGGACGTTCTTCGTTGCACTGTAGAGCTCTGATACCCTATGTGTGCTAGCCTTTTAACTTCTGTAGTAGCATGTTGTGATGAATAGGGATTTGCAACTCTTATGTAGTACAACTTAGTCATACTTTCATAATTAATGTCTTTTGATGAATTTAAGAATTTTTTTACTACTTTGATAATACCCTACCTTAAACTCAATGAAGATAATCTGTTTTGTTATCTTTTTGACGTATTTGTTATGTCTAGGATCAAACCAGATTGATTTTTAAAAATAAGTTGTTATTTAAGGATTATGTTATATTTGTTCCCATGTGGATATCTCATTGTTCCAACATCATATATTGAAAACAGCTTTTCTTTCCACACTGGTATAGCTTGCCTCCTTTTGTTGTAATACAGTTGTCCATGTATGCATGGATCTATATTGGGGTTTTCTATTCCATTTAGTTATTTGATTTGTCTATTCTTGCCACCAAGTACCACAGTGTTTTAATTAGTGCTGTTTAACTTGCATGATAATTGATTGAGCTTTATAGATCTGTGGGTTTATAGATTTCATCAAATTTGGAAATAATTTTGGCCATTATTTCTTTAAGTATTTTCTCTGTCTTAGTCCATGTCTCATAACTCTCAGCCTCTTTCTTAGACCTGAGTTTTATATATATATATAAATCTATTTTATATATATATATATATATATAAATAAAATCTGCTTGATGTCCTGTTAGTAACTGATATTCTCTTTGTTTTGTACTTTTTTTCCCCCAGTCTTTTTTTGTTGTTCTGGTGTGCCTTATTCTGTAGTTTTTGTGCTATCTTTAAGTTCACTTATCTTTTCTTGTACAGTGTCCATTCTAACTTTACTCGCATCCCACCTGGTTTCTTTCATTCAGCAAAATTGTTTTGAGATTTAACCATGATGCAGTATATCAGTAGTTTATTTCTTTTTTATTGCTGAATAGTATTCCATTACATGGATATATGACAATTTGTTTATCCATTCTTCTCTTTGTGCACATTTGGGTTGGTTCCAGTTTTTGTCTCTTGTGAATAAAGCTGCATTATTAAGTTATTTGCAAATCAACTTCTATAATTCATTGATTTTTAGGAAATTTACCGTAGTGCACCCATCACTAAAGTCTGATTTTAGAACATTTTTACTATCCCCAAATGATAACTTGTACCCATTTATAGTCATTTTCCATTTTCTTCCTAGTCCTAGGCAACCACTGATATGCTTCCTTTTCTCTATAAATTTGCCTTTTCTAGACATTTCATATAAATCAAATAATACAATAGTCGTCTTTTGGTTGTGGTCTCGTTTCCTTAGTATACAGTTTTGAAGTTCATGCATATTATAGCATGTATTGTACTTCATTTCTTTTTAGTGCTGAATAATATTTTTTGTGTTGTGTGGTATAATAAAGAATATATTCTCTTTTTCCCCAGTTCCTAGCACAGAACTTTATTTATTTACATTTCTTTTCTAATTTTTTTTTTTTAAATCCTCACCTGAGGGTATTTTTCTGTTTATCTTCAGTTAGAGTGGGAGGGAGAGAGAGGGAGAGAAAAGGAGAGAGAGAGAAACATCGACGTGAGAGGGACACATAGATGTGAGAGGGATACATCGTCTGGCTGCCTCCCACACTACCCTGCCTAGGGCCAGGGATGAATCGCAGCTGAGGTACGTGCCCTTGACCAGAATCAAACCCACCACTCCTTGGTCCGCAGGCTTATGCTTTACTGCTGAGCCAAAAGGGCTCTAATTTTTTTTTAATATTTTTTTTTCTTAGAGGAAGGAAGAGGGAGAGAGTGATAGAAACATCAGTGAGAGAGAACATCTATTGGCCACCACCTGCATGCCCCCCCCTGGGGATCGGGCCCACAACCTGGGCATATACCCCGACCAGGAATTGAACCGGCGACCTCTTAGTGCCTGGGTTGACGCTAAACCACTGAGCCACACCGCTGGACCAGAACTTTGTTTATATATTTTTTTAATCCTCACCCGAGGATATTTTTTATTTATCTTCAGATAGAGTGGGAGGGAGGGAGGGAAGAGAAGAGGAGAGAGAGAGAGAGAGAGAGAGAGAGAGAGAGAGAGAGAGACTGACTTTGATTGGTCCAGCCAGGGCTGGGGTTTGAACCACAACTGAGGTACGTGCCCTTGACTGGAATCAAACCCATGACTCTTTGGTCCAAGGGCTGAAGCTCTAACCACTGAGCAAAACCAGCCAGAGCACCTAGCACAGAACTTTAAAAAGTGCCTGGGTTTCTAGAGTGATAGGAGTGTCTGTTATTCTAATGAGGCAGCTTCTGGTGGCCTTTTGATAGTTTTGAGATGAGGACTGATCACCAGAAAAAACTAGTGGCTCAAACTGCAGAGAGGAAAAGATAGCTAAAGATTGAGTTTAATCACATGGCCAATGATTTATTTAATGATGCCTGTGCAGTGACACCCTAATTAAAGTTTTGGACATTGGCACTCAGTGGAGCTTCCTGATTAGTTAACACATGGATGTGCAGAGTGTGATACACCCTGCTTCCACAAGGAAGTCTGTGCTCTCCCAGACTTCACCCCTTGTGTATCCTTTATAATAAAACTAGGATTGTAAGTACAGTGCTTTCCTGAGCTTTGTGAGTCATCGTGGTCAATTATCGAGCCTTCGGGGGTCATGAAACTCCTAATTTTTAGTTATTTAGTTGGAAATGCAGGTGGCCTGGGGACTGCCGAAAGTGTGGCTGATGTCTGAAGTGAGGGCAGTCTTATAGAAGACTGAACTCTTAACTGTGGGGTCTGATGCTAACTCTTAAGTGTTTAGCGTTGGAAGTGTATTGCAGTATACCTGGTTGTGTGAAAACACAGTATATACATAATACTCAGTTTTGTTTCTCCATTTGCTGATTGATGGACATTTGAATTGTTTCAACTTTGGGGCTATTGTAAATAGTGAACATTTGCACACAAGTCTTTTATTTCATTTCTCTAGACAGAGCATAAAAACTATACAAGGTGAGGCACATCCGGGGGTAAAAACAAAACAAAACAAAAAACGAATATCAGTTATCCATGGGACAACACCAAACAGATTATATATGATTTCTCCAGTCTGAGAAAGGGGCTAAGGGATTGTATAGGACAGGAGCTGAGAGAGAAAAAATACTTGAAGAAATAATGGACAAAATTTTTTCAAATTTGATGAAATCTATAAATCCATAGATCTAAGAACCTCAGTCAGTATCAAGCCAGCTAAACAGAATTAATTAAAACACTGTGGTACTTGGTGACAAGAATAAACAAAACAACTAAGTGAAATAGAAAACCCCAATATAGACTCATGCATATATGGGCAATTTTGTTGTTTCTTGAATTGCTTTATCTGTATGTCATGATGTTGGTTTTTCTAAAATGTTGATTTCTTGGCTTTGTTCTCTTTTTGTGGAAACTTTTTCTGTTTGCAATTGCTTGTTTCTGGGATGGGTGGGACATGTGGATAGCTTTTCTTCTGAATTTGTGATTTATCTGTCTCTCCTGGGGGTCCGGAGCAACCTAGCTTGGTGTCTTAGCTTCTGTGGTCCCAATGCCACTATTTTTGTGTGGGTGCAGGTAACACTGCCACTTACTATGAGCAAGAAGATGGGGAAAGGGAGAAGGACCTGTTCTAAAACATGGCTACCAACTACTTACTCTTCCCGTGGTATGCAATGTATTATCTCTTCTTGTGGCCATTGAATCTGATGTTTTTTAGATTTTACTAAACTGCTCCTACCTCTTTAGCTCTCTTCTTTATGAGTTATTTGCAATATTTTTTTTTGTCTTATTCTTTTTCTCTTTTAAAATATTTCTATTTGCCCTGGCCGGTTTGGCTCAGCGGTTAGAGCATCGGCCTGCGGTCCGGAGAGACCCGGGTTCGGTTCCCGCTAAGGGCATGTACTTCGGTTGCAGTTTATCCCCGGCCCTGGTTGGTCGTGCGGTGGCAGCCACTCGATGTGTCCCTTCACGTCGATGTTTTTCTCTCTCTGTCTCTTCCTCTCTCTCCCTCCCACTCTATCTGTACAAAAAAAAATGGAAAAATGTCCTCGGGTGAGGATAAAAAATAAATAAATAAATAAATAAATAAATAAATAAATAAATAAAATATTTCTATTTAAATAGATTCCTGTAACCCTGGCTGGTTTGGCTCAGCTATTAGAACATTGGCCAATGGACAAAAGGGTCTCAGGTTTGATTCCTGGTCAGGGGCACGTACCTGGGTTGCAGGTTTGATCCCTAGCCACGGTTGCGGGAGACAACCAGTCGATGTGACTCTCTCACATTAATATTTCTCTCTCTCTCTCCCTCCCTCTTTCACCCTTCCTCCCTTTCACTCTGTCTAAAAATCAATGGGGAAATATCCTCGGGTGAGGATTAACAGATAATAGATAGATTCCTGTATTCTCCAAGAGGGAAAATGATACATTTATACATATTTTGTTAGTAAGTATGAAGAAGATACCCATGTCAAAGTTTTGTCTGATAACTATTTTTCCCTTAATGATGTCCAGATCTAAAATCAAAGATTTTATAAAGTTGGTTTTGTATATAAAATAATTTGTCTTGCCCTGGCCGGTTTGGCTCAGCGGTTAGAGCGTTGGCCTGCGATCCAGAGAGACTTGGGTTCAGTTCCCGCTAAGGGCATGTACCTTGGTTGCAGTTTGCCCCCGGCCCTGGTTGGTTGTGCGAGTGGCAACCACTCGATGTGTCCCTTTCACGTTGATGTTTCTCTCTCTCTCTCTCTCTCTCTCCCTCCCACTCTTATCTGAACAAAATATGGAAAAAATGTCTTCGGGTGAGGATAAAATAAATAAATAAAATAAAATAATTTGTCCTTTTCCAGTAGAAATAACAGTTTTGGGGTTTTGTTCTGTTTATGGTTTTGATTTTCTTTCTTTAAAACAATTTTTTTTTCTTTCCATTTTATATTTCAGCTCTTTTGTGCCTTTCAAGATGATAAGTATCTATACATGGTAATGGAGTACATGCCTGGTGGAGACCTTGTAAACCTTATGAGTAACTATGATGTACCTGAAAAATGGGCCAAATTTTATACTGCTGAAGTTGTTCTTGCTCTGGATGCCATACACTCCATGGGCTTAATTCATAGAGATGTAAAGCCTGACAACATGCTTTTGGATAAACATGGACATCTAAAATTAGCAGATTTTGGCACATGTATGAAAATGGATGAAGTAAGTAATAAGCAAGTATAAAAATGCTGGGTTTTTGTTTTGGAAACAAAAATAAAAGAAACACTTTAAATCTGGACTTTATAGTTTTAAACAAGGATAACTTTAGTTATGCTTACTGTGTATGACTCAAAGTAATAAAATACCCAGATTTTAATGCATTTCATAATGCATTTGTCCTCTCTCCTCTCAGAGCCATGCAGTTTTTATCCCTTAGTTGCATTTGTGTGTGTATGTGTGTGTGTGTGTGTGTTTATACACATTTTTTTCCCTTCATCTCTGCTATTTACCCAGACAGGCATGGTGCATTGTGATACAGCAGTTGGAACACCTGATTATATATCACCTGAGGTTTTGAAATCACAAGGGGGTGATGGTTACTATGGGCGAGAATGTGATTGGTGGTCTGTGGGTGTTTTCCTTTTTGAGATGCTGGTGGGTAAGTAAATATTTAACATTCTTTTTTCAAAACTTACCTCATGATACTTTTAGTTCAAAAATTTGGGAGTATAAGGAAATTATTGCATGTGTCCTAGGGAAGAAGTGGGATTTATGAAAACATTGAATGAATAGTGTCTGATATGACAGATTGTTAATTGGAAAGTTAAAACCAAACCTCATACTGGCAAGTTGAGTAGAATACGAAAAGAATTGAAAGTGTACTACTAGGAAATATTCCTTCAGTAGACCTTTTTGTATTAAGAAAATACAACAGCCAGAAGCAAGTTTACAGCTACAGTGGGCCTCCAGTCTTGAGATTTTTTTTTTATTAACAGTATTTGTTGTAAATATTTTGAATATGAAGCTGTTCATATTTGTTCTAATAATAGAGAACTAAAAGTACATTTTTAGTTTATGTAATTTGTTAGTGATTTTTATTAACTTAATTTCTTGTATATATTTCTTGTTTATATATTTTGTTTGAAATTCTAGTAAAGTAAATCATAAATATAGTTTTTGACCATTTGACTATCAAGATAACTACATTTTGTATTTCAGTCTCAGAAAACTCAGAGACAAATTTAATAATTTCTTTTACTTTGACCAAATCAAAATTTGAAAGGCTTAAGTGTTTTAAAACTTTTCTTTATATCATGGATTTCATTCTTAAAATTTCCTTTTCCTAAATACTAGGGACACACAAATATCTCTGGCTAAGGAAGCTAGTGACTGAATCATCTGGCTTAGGGACAGAGGAGATATAGCCAAATTCACTTTCTGAGGCAAGTGTGATAAGGCTAATAATATTATATGAGTGACTTTAGTATTGAGAATATATTTTTAGAAAATGGGGAATTTATTTTATAGATAATGACCCTAAAAGAAATTGGTAGTAGAAAATCTATAAAATTTATATGATAATTGAGTATAGTTATTGTTTTTTAAAAAATCAGAACATTTTGGTAAATCTCAAATTTAGGTAATAATTAGGCAAGGAACTTTTTTGTAACAAAGTTTGTCTTCTGCCCTGGCCAGTTTGGCTCAGCAGTTAGAACCTGGGCCTGTGGACCAGAGAGACCGGGTTTGGTTCCCGCTAAGGGCATGTATCTTGGTTGCAGCTTGTCCCCAGTCCTGGTTGGGGTCGTATGGTGGCAGCCAGTCGATGTGTCTCTTTCACCTCTCTCTTTCTCTCTCTCTCTCTCTCTCTCTCTCTCTCTCTCTCTCTCTCTCTCTCTCTCGTCTACCTCTCTCCCTTCCGCCATATCTGGAGATAAATACAAAAATGTCCTAGGGTGAGGATAAAAAAAAAAGATTGTATTTCCTCTCTCTTTTTAAATCCTTACCCAAGGACATGTTTTTATTGATTTTAGGGAGGGAGGAAGGGAGGGAGGGGAAGAGAGAGAGAGAGAGAAACATTGATGTGTGAGAGTGAGACATCAATCAGTTGCCTCCCACACATGCCTCTATCAGGATTAAACCCCAAACCTGAGTACGTGCCCTGACCAGGAATGGAACCTGAAACCTTTTGGTGTACGGGATAACACTCCAAACCAGATAAGCCACATCAGCCAGGGCTAAATTGCCTTCTCTTGGTGACCATTCTGTATATGAAGCATTGATCTTGCTATGCTTAGTATGATGTTATAGTATGACCTACTTTGCTTTAGACTTTTGTCTTTGTAGTGGGTCTCTTTGTATTCACCATATGTTTCCAGGTAGCTGTCCATTCTCCCCATCTTTGGCCCAGTCTGATGATGCATTAGGTGTGTCTTGTAATCTTTTGAAAGTAGAATATACTCTATTATTTGCCTAGACTCTCCTAAGGATTTAGAAAATAATATTTTGTAGGAAGTCATATGGCTCATTTGAAGAGATTTAAATTTCTGCTACTCTTTTCAACTCTGAAAGCTGGATTTAATGAATTTGACTAGTACTGATTTTGCAGTATTCTGAGCTTGCTCTGGTGCTTGCTTAGTTGGTTGGCACTGGAATTCATTTAAAGGATTCTATTGCAATTAAAAATGACACTAGAAGAACCTTGAATTCAAAACTGCCCTGTGCCTCCTGCGCCCTTGAAAACAAATAAAAACAATCTACCTGAATACCCCTTTTGAAATTTTGGATTGACTGCTTTGGGAAAGTCTGTTTTGTACTAAGGTGACTTGTAGTTAAGGCATACTAGCAGGGCCTTTAACCCTGTGGCTTCAGTTGAGTACTGGCCAAAATGATACCTTCAACTTTTTGTGTCTTGACACTTGTTTGAATACTTCTTTATTACACAATCATTAGTCAGCAGGAACCATTTCTACCATTTTCAGCTCTAGATATGTGTCATCTTAGGCAAATCACATGTCATTTTTCTGGGCCCACCTTCCTCATATATAAAATAATAGGGCTGGTCTAACTCTTAGAGCTGCACTGTCCTCTCTATCATGATGAAAATGGTTTATATCTGTGCATCCACTATGGTAGGTACTGGCCACATGGGGCACTTGAAATGTAACTGGTGGACTGGGGAACTGAATTTTTCATTTCGTTTAATTGTAATTTGCCACATGTGATTAGTGGCTATTGTATTGTATAACAAAGCTCTAGAGAGTAATCTCCAAGCATTAGAAGACTCTGACTAATCTGACCTCACTTTGTAAACTTTTTAATTATTTAGTAAATTGTTTCTTTTCCCACTATTACAAAAAAACAAAACCACAAAATTCTAGAGTTAGCATTAAATTTATTTTGCTCATAAGGGTTAATGGGTCATTGGTATGGTTCAAACTTAAATATATTCTTGGTGTTATACCTGTTTGTTTTGACTGAGACCTCTAGCCCATAACCATTCATTCTTTCATGCATGTGACCAATTTATACTTAACATACTTAAATATTAGACGAAAAGTGTTTAATTTGTATTTCTATTACACTCAATGTCTTCTTTCTCGGAATTTTAGGGGATACTCCATTTTATGCAGATTCACTTGTAGGAACATATAGCAAAATTATGGATCATAAAAACTCACTATGTTTCCCTGAAGATGCAGAAATTTCTAAACATGCGAAGAATCTCATCTGTGCCTTCCTAACAGACAGGTAATATATATTGAATGTCTTTGTAGAGATGACACCTTTAACTTTTAAACTTGTAGAAGTGAAAGCATACCTAACTCTTATTTACATATGAAATCAATCTCTCTCCTTATCTTAATTGCATTTAATTCTGAATTAGCCTTTTTTTTACTGCTAAGCCCAGTGTTGGGTTACCCTTGTCATTTTGTGTGTGCAGCCCAATTGTAATTTAACTCTAACCTTAACCCTCATGTCTAAAAACAAAACAAAAAATAGAACTTACTAAAATAATGCATTTGAGAAAAATAAAACTGTATTATTCACATTTTCGCCTCTGAGGTGGCTTAAGCCATATTACCCTTGATTGTTCAATTTTTGAAAGAAGAGCATTTTGTGCAGCTAAATACTTAACAGGTTATAATCTTAAAAACTGTTTGTGTTTAACTTGGGAGTGCCTCCTTTCCAACCTGTTTTTATTTGCATTTGAATATGAGCAAGTCTGTCCTGGAAATTCTATATTTCTTAAAACAAAATAGATGAACAGTGTTTTGAAAACCAGCTATTCAGAGTTTCTTCCTTGGCCTCTCCATTCAGTTCTTTTCTGGTTTCCCATTTATAGTTGTGACAGGAGTCATCCTATCAAAGGACCAACACATACAAGAGGGTACTTTCTCCCCCACCCAAACTTTATTTACTAGCTTTACATTCTTAGGGAAATTATTTTACTTTATTTGGAAATAATTTTATTCATTCATAAAATGATGGCATCAGAATAGATTAAAGTAAGGGCATCTGTAGCTCTAAAGTGCTATGATTCTTTAGCACACCTTATGTTTGTTAGCTAGTTGCTGTTACAAGAAGTACTATAGTGATTGTCCTCATATATCTTTGCATACTTTTTGTAGGATAAAATCTTAAAGGTGGAATTCTGGGAATTGAGTGATGTTGCAAAATTGACCTTGAGAGTCACATCAGGAAATATTTTGTTGTTGTTAATCCTCACCTGAGGATATCTAATCCAGTGATTTTTAGAGAGAAGGGAAGGGAAGGGGAGAGAGGGAGAGAGAGAAACATCAATTGGTTGCATCCTGCACTCTCCCTAAACAGGGTTGGGAATCAGACCCTCAACCCTTTGGTGCATGGGCTAACACTAACCACAGAGACACACTGGCCAGGACCGGGAATTTTATATTTTTAATTGATTTCAGGGAGAGGGGGAGAGATATAGAAATATCGATTGGCTACCTCCCCTGCATGTCCCCTCCTGAGGATCGAGCCTGCAAACCAAGCATGTGCCCTGACTGGGAATTGAACTGGTGACCTGCTGGTGCTTGAGATGATGCTCAACCCATTGGGCCACACCAGCTAGACCAGGGAATATTTTTTAACAATAATTGTTTTCCTAATTTTTATCAAAGTGAATATTATGAAATATTTTTCTTTTTTCATAGGAAGCAAGAAAAGTTATTTTTATTTAATCATTTTTTCTATTTTTATCAATCATTTGTAGAATAAAACTTTTAAGATTTGTTAATTGTGTGATTTATGTACAATCCATGCTGATAAACTCAAAACAAATCCTGTATCATGTTTTGATTTCATAGGATGACCATAATTTGTGCTGAAAGATCAAATATAAAATATAGGATATAGCATGTGTTATTGGAAAGAGTATCATTCATGACAGATTTGCCTTAGCAATTTATTAGGAGGGAGATTGTAGTAAAGAATGATTGTAGGTAGAGAAAAGATATTTTGATAATAATTTAATGCCATTAGTATGACTAGGATCACTTCCCTCTCAAGGTTCTGCTCTTAAATTAAACGTAGCTCCATGGCCTTTTATTTTCAGTCTTTTTTTTTTTTTCCCCATATAGTCTTAATTGAAGACCCAAAGGGTCAAAAAATGAAATCATTTGTTGACAATTTTTTGTGTTTAGAACAATAATTTTAATGAAGAGATAAAACTTATTAGAGAAATATGGATAGCTTCAAATACAACATGTGCTTTCTTTTTAAGAAGGGGAGAGATTTTAAAAATAACATTTTTACTAGAAAGGTTTTGATAATTGTTCTGGGCCAAAAGTTAGATCTTTGTCCATTTTACATCCTAAAGTTGGTCATGCAATTTTGGCACATGCAGGTGAATTTGTTATTTGAAAGTCTCATGTGTATTTTTGTTTGACACAAACTACAGATTGAAATATATTTCACTTTTCATGACATTTACTATACACTACTGTCTTTTTAATCTATCTGTAGAGATTATACATTATAAAATAGAGATTGTATTTTGTTTTGTTTTTGAGAAATATTTATGCTGAAGCTTTTAAAAAAGATATCTCAAACTTATTTGTGATCCTTATGTTGATTCTTGTTGCGATAAAGAGTTAATATTTTTGTCTTCATAACTTTACTTCTATATAATCTTTAACTGCATTGCTTAGGGAGGTACGACTTGGGAGAAATGGGGTAGAAGAAATCAAACAACATCCTTTCTTTAAGAATGATCAGTGGAATTGGGATAACATAAGAGAGAGTAAGTCAATAAATTTAAATATTTCCATTACATCACATTTTAAATAGATTCCTCTTTTGAATTAACAAGTATGTTTTATACACTTAATGCTAACTAATTTTAAAATTAAGAGGTTTCATTTTAAATTTGTTCATTGACAATATTTATAACTAATATTACCTCAGTAGTTTAGCAAACTAAGCATACAATAAATATGTATTTAGTAACAATATTTTCCAATACTTTTATATTAAACATCATAGGTTTCTTTATTTGTCAAGTTAAATTTTGTGGATCTCAATAATTTTCAAAATGGGGAAATATAAACTTTAATTTGAAGAGTAAGAAATCTTTTTACTAAAGAATGTAGAAAATTGAAAACCAAAGAATGTATGTGCAAGTTATTACTGCTTGTAATTTTAATACCTTGAGTAATATCATACTGCTTTTCTTTAATTGATTTCTCTATATTTAAAACTGATCTAATGTAGTAAAATGCTTATAAAATTTTAATTCTTTGAAATGATAAAATGGAAAATGTGTTAATTAAATTTTCTATAGTAAATCATAAAATGTTATCAATTATATATTATTAATGTATATTGTATTAATATTAATATAATATATTGTTAATATAAAATAGGGGTATTTTCAAATTTATTTTTTGATTATGAATGAAATAATTCATTTTTTTTCATAGCGGCAGCTCCAGTAGTACCTGAACTCAGCAGCGACATAGACAGCAGCAATTTTGATGACATCGAAGATGATAAAGGAGATGTAGAAACCTTTCCAATTCCTAAAGCTTTTGTGGGAAATCAGCTGCCTTTTATAGGATTTACCTACTACAGAGAAAATTTGTATGTTATTTATTACATTTTCATTGTTTCAGAGTCTAGCTATAAAGAGTTGTCTTGCTTTGGGACTGGATTATATTTTTAAAAAGTATTAATTTGTTTTAAACTTTTAGTTTTTCCAAAAGGACTATCAGAAGAGTTATTTTTCATTTAATTTCATTATTTTATTTCTGATTGTTACATGACATTCTTTTATAAATTAATGCAAGGCAATGCTCTATATTAGTTTGGGCTTTAGATAAGACCAAGTACCTGCTTTTGAAGGAGCTTGTCAACTAATGAGGGATATGAGAAGATTATACCCTCATAGTGAAGGGTAGAATGTGCTATTTGTCTTAGGAAAGGTATCCAAAAAATCTAAGATGGTTTGGAAGAAAAATAAAAGTCATGTTTCTTTGGGAGAAGTTAGGCAAGATCTCAGGGCAGAGATGGCTAAATTTAAATTTAGTTAAATTTAAAGATAAAGGGTTTTTTTGAATGGTGGAGATGTGAGGATGTGAGTAGTGGAAGCAAAAGTTTGGAATGTAAGCATTCATTGAGAGCACAGTAGTGTAATCCAGTGGGGCTCAAACATAGGGTGTATATTTCTGGCTTATGACCATTTGAAGGACTTGATAAGACTGTAGTTTTCTTGCCTAAATCCTTCCATCTATCACAAAGCTTGGCATAGGTTGTTCAATAAATATTGGTTGACAAGTGAGTTTTTGGGGTAAGATTAGAAAATAGATTGAAGTTGGAGTTTAGGAGAAGAATTATGCAAAAGATGTTTTTTGTGTGTTCTGTCAAGGGGCTTTTGACTTTATAGGCAGTGAGGAGCCACTGAAAAATATTAAATAGTTGAGTGAAGCATTAAAGACATCGGAGGAACTTTTTGATATTTCTGTGTATAATGTTGGGAATGACCAACCATTACGATTTGCTCAGGACTGAGTGGTTTCCTAGGATGTGGTATGGGGCTTTCACACTGAGACTGGGAACAATCCCAGGCCAACCAGGAAGAATTGGTCATCTGGCTACCATTAGTGTTCTCAAAACTGTCATAATGCTGACTAAAGTCAGGGTATCAGTGCCAGGAGAAACCCAGGAATGTTTATAGGCAGTCAGGAAGGACCCAGTTAAGAGAGAAATTGACATTTAATTAGAAGTGATCATTTATGTATTAAGACCTGGAGATCAAGAGATGTTATCTTTGAAAAAGAGAGATGTCTCTTTCTAGAAAATGTCTAGAAAAGAAAAATAAAATTGTTACAGGAACTCAGGATGAAGAGGAAGAGAGTTTCATTTAGTGACTCCAATCTCAACAATGTTAAATAACAGAACATCTGATAAGATTGAGAGGCGAGAAAAGTTTAGCAAATTATTGAAAATAGTATAAATATCTAGAGGGGAAAATGCTTCATTTAAAATAAGTTGAAGTGGGAAAAAAGAGAAATCTTTGTGATTGGAATTTAATTCTGAGAAGAAGTTGGTATTAGAAAATGGATTAAAATGACTTGTAAAAGAATTTACTTTACTGCTTTTTCTTCTAGGTTATTAAGTGACTTTCCATCTTGTAGAGAAAATGATTCAGTACAATCAAGGAAAAATGAAGTATGTATAAAATTTTACTCTATTTTAATCGAATGTTCAAATATTTTAGTAATGTCCATGTATTAATAGTTTAGTTGATGCTACCTTTTAAATCATTAGATGGCATTCTTTGTTGCAATACAGTTCAGCATAACATTGAAATAATTAACTTATTTGACGAGTATCGTTGTGTAAGATACAGTGGCTAGTAAAATGATGTATTATACACGGCTTTAGGTTTAGTTTTAGTAGCAAAAGTGACAAAGTAGGTTTATGAACAGCTATAATACCAGTTAGAAAATTTTATCATAGTTCTATAGAAGTACAGATAATAAGTTGTAAGAGTAACAGAAATAGTGAAGAGATTCAAATTTTGAGTATTTAGCAGTGAATTCATATAAAGAATGGTTTTATCAAACTATTCCAGTATTTTGAGATGCTAACAATTTTTCTCTTCAAAACTTATAAAAACCAAAACATTTACTTGGATAATTTTTGGTATGATTTGTGTTTTAGGAATTTTAGGAAGCAAAACAAGCATTTAAATGTATTTGTGTTTTTTCTTTATTTTTTTTAAATAGGAAAGTCAAGAGGTATGTGGATGTCATATATCTTGAAAAACAGACTCATCACTCTAGCAATGTTTTGATGTAGCCTTGTTCCACTTAGCACTGGAGCACTACATCTCCCAAGACAGAAGTTCCCAACCTTTTTCCTACCAAGTATCTCTTTTATTATTGTTCCTATGGATCTGTTATTTAAAATACATAGTATGTATTTTTTTTTTGTTTTTATTTATCAAGGATATGTAATTGGCAGCAAGAACTTCTGATTAGCATGTGATAACTACTGTGATCAAATTGTATTAATGCAACAGTAGTTAAATTTGACTAGTTCACTTGCCTCTGTCTTCTTCTTAGGGGAAAAATAGTTTTCTTTAAGGTATATGACATATTTAAAAAACCATGAATAACCTAATCACCAGAAAGAACAGTGGAAAGAATATTGGTTTTGGAATCTAAAAGACTTAAAAAATTAGGTTGATTTTTTTTTTATACTGCCACTTATTAATTATGTTATCTTGGCCCAGTTATTCATAATTTTTGGATTTTAGTTTCTTTACTAATTAGATATGATACTACCATATTCTTAGGGTTTTTGTTAGGATTAATGAGACCACATTTGTCAGTTGCCTGCCACAGTTCCTAAGGCACAAAAGTAACTCAAAAAGTTAAATCCTTTATAAAGATAATAATGCTCCAAAAATTGATTATTTAATACTTTCTGTAATTTTAGTTTGTTTAAAGAATGACAGATCTGGTCTAGAAAGATTTAAAGAATGACAAGATTGCTTGTAATTCATTAGCTGTCGTTTGTTCAGAAGTTATTGATTATAACTTTACAGTACTGAGCCCAGCACTGTGTAGAAGAGCTTATATTCTTATTTTTAAGAACATTAGCATATATTTGAGCATCTTCAATAAAATACTGTTAGCACAAACGCTAACAGTATTTTTAAATAAATAATCTGCAGAAGAACAGTGAAGGCTAGCCTTTATTCCTAATGAATGAGAAACTTGTGTCATAGAAGATTTCTGCCAAGGTTAGAGCTTCTCATTCATGTTTGCAGTGTGACCATACATACATATATGTGTACTGTCATAGACAGAAAGCAAGAGATGGAGGGTTTTTTCCCTCTGTCAATAAAAGTGACATTAGGAGGTATAAATACTATACCAGTTGAGGTGATTACATTAAGTTGAAAGAAAAGAGAATCCTATTGTTTTCTTGAAGCCTCTTATCTTTTAAGTGTTATCATACTTTATAATCATAGTCTTTTCTTTTCTGACAGATTCAGAAAAAACTATACACATTAGAAGAACACCTTAGCACTGAGATACAAGCCAAAGAGGAGATAGAGCAGAAGTGCAAGTATGTTTGTAGATGATTAATAGTATATTATAAAATTTAAGTTTAAACATATTACTAAAAATGTAATTATGTAAAGTGTATTTTAAAATTTATAGTAAATGCTTTTATTGTAAATTAGGAGTTATTTTATTTACTGTTTTGTTTTTAATTCTTTAGATCTGTTAATACTCGCCTAGAGAAAGTAGCAAAGGAGCTAGAAGAAGAGGTAAAGTTGCCGTACACTTTTACTAACATTTTTGTTCATAAAGAGTTTTGATGCCTGACTTATCTACAGTGTTCTCTCAGTACCGTATTAATACATATCTTGATCTGTAATAAAACCTACCTTGTAACATCAGTGCACAGGACTAAAATTATAGGATAAACATGATAATAGGCTTTGTTTTTGATGTTTTCACAAAACTTGAGTTAATTTAGTGTGTGTAGATATTTCAAGTAAAAAAATTGCATTTGTATTGATGACATGGTTTAAAAACAGAAAGTAACCATTCTTTATTTTTTAAATTTTGGTCATAACATTTTGACCCATGCTTTTATTACGTAAATATTATTCAATGGTGATATAATGTTATATAGAAAGTTTTCACATGTTATGTGAAAACCAAACATTTATGGTATTGATGAATGTTTCACAAAACATTTATGGTATTGATGAAGAGTAGTGTGTTATTTTTTTTTTCTTTTTTAAAAAATTTATTCATTTATTTATTTTAGCTTATTTATTTTTGTTACAGATGTTTTTCCTTTTTCCCCCACTGATTCCCCCCTCCCCGCCCTGTCCCCAGCTTTGTTGTCTATGTCCATTGTTCATGCATACATGCATATAAGTTCTTTGGTTTATCTCTCCCCCACTACCACCTCTTCTGGGGATTGTCAGTCTGTACCCCACTTCCACGTCTCTGGGACTACCCCATTCCTCAGACTGTTATGTTCATTATATTCCACAAATAAGTGAGATCATATGATACTTGTCTTTCTCTGTTTGGCTTGTTTCACGTAGGATAATACTTTCCAGATCCCTCCATGTCGTCTCAAAGGATAAGAGATGTTTCTTTCTTATAGCTGCATAGTACTCCATTTTGTATATGTACCACAGCTTTTTATCCATTTGTCTACTGATGGACATTTGGGCTGTTTCCCTTCTCTGTATCATTCCAATTTTAGTATATGTGCTGCCGAAGCAAGCACTAGTGTGTTATTTTTAAAATATGGGAAACATTGAAACTTTAATAATATAGCAGTTACAGCTTTTATTTAATTTTGTTTTTTTATCTTGAAATAACTAAAATAGTTTCTGTTTTTATTTTATTTTATTTTCATACATTTTTTCTGATAATAACTTCAAGCACTATTTCAGATTACCTTAAGGAAAAATGTGGAATCAGCATTAAGACAATTAGAAAGAGAAAAGGCGCTTCTTCAGCACAAAAATGCAGAATATCAGCGGAAAGCTGATCATGAAGCAGACAAGAAACGAAATTTGGAAAATGATGGTTTGTGGTGTAGAATATTAAATACTTACTAAGAAAAAATTAAGTGTATGTTTGTGTTGTGTTGAAGCTTGCCATTGAAATGCTTTTTATTATAGTTAACAGTTTAAAAGATCAACTTGAAGATTTGAAAAAAAGAAATCATAACTCTCAAATATCCACCGAAAAAGTGAATCAACTTCAGAGACAAGTAAGTTGATCCCAATTTATAATAAAGATATTGAATTTTATTTATGACTGCATGTTAACAGTTTTAATTGGCAATGTTACAAAAGGATTTTACCTCTAATTTTAAAGGGAAATCATGAGGAAATATTTTTAGGTCTTTGTTTATTTTAAATACTTTTTAATACAGTAAGAAATTGAAGTATTTTCATTATCTGCACCTGTGTTTGTTTCTTTGTTGTTGTTTGTTTTTTAATGGAATAACAGCTGGATGAAACCAATGCTTTGCTGCGAACAGAATCTGATACTGCAGCCCGGTTAAGAAAAAGCCAGGCAGAAAGTTCAAAACAGATTCAGCAGTTGGAATCTAACAATAGAGATCTACAAGATAAAAATTGCCTCTTGGAGACTGCCAAGTTAAAACTTGAAAAGGAATTTATCAATCTTCAGTCAGTTCTAGAATCTGAAAGGAGGGACCGAACCCATGGATCAGAGATAATTAATGATTTACAAGGTATTAACGTAGATATTGCACTTGAATTCCTCTTAAAGATTCATATTTTGGAAATAATTTTAGATGATGGATAATGTGCTGAGTAGCACATTTCTGAATATGTAAAGTTAGGGTATTAGAAATACATTAATATGAAATATTGTGAGCGAAAGATATACTTTCAAATAGTTTGGAGTATTTAAGTATCAAGCTACCTTTCAAGGTGGTAGATTGGGTTCCAGTTGAGTTGGCTGTAAAGCAGAATTTCAACTCTATCAACTATACCAACAAAAACTTGTGCTCATTAATAATAGCTTCAAAGTATGAGGTGACTTTCAAGTTTTTTACTCTTAACATATGTATATGTATATATATATATATATATATATATATATATACTTTGTAGATTTATTGTTTTTAAAAATGTTGCAATTTTAGGTAGAATATCTGGCCTAGAAGAAGATTTAAAGAATGGCAAAATCTTATTAACGAAAGTAGAGATGGAGAAGAGACAACTACAGGAAAGATTCACTGATTTAGAAAAGGTAAAACATGTTAAGTTTTATATTTGTGTAAGAAAATGACTATAGAGTTTCAGAATGGAAAACTTACTCCAAAATAAGAGAAATCATTTATTTCTGCATATTTATTGGACTGATACTGAGATTTGGTTGTGTTGTAGACTAAGGATATATATTTCTTTTTCTTCTTTTTTTTTTTTTTAAATTCTCACTGAAGGACATGTTTCCGTTGATTTTAGAGAGAGGGGAAGGGAGAGAGAGAGAAACATTGATGTGACAGAGATACATCAGTTGGTTGCCTCCCGTACATACCCTGACCAGGGATCAAACTTGCAACCTGGATATATGCCCTGACCAGGAATCAAACCAGCAACCTTTTGGTATATGCTCCAACCAACTAAGCCACAGCAGCCAGCGCAGGATATATATTTCTTAAGGCTTGCCATAGCACTACATAAGCAGCTCTTAGTATGTTAGATGCTTCAGGAGGGAAGGACTCTCCTGGAGTGTGTATAATGAGGATGCTTCTCTGTAGGGGTCCAGAGAAAACTTAAATTTTCACTCATAACATGTCTTAAAATTACATAATGTTATGACTTTTGGCATTTGGAAATTTTTCTTTAAAAATACTGTAAGCTAAGAATAATTTCTAGGCTCTGTACAGTTAACCTTTTTTAAAAATCGTCACCCAAGGATATTTTTTCATTTATTTTCAGACAGAGTGGGAGGGGGAGAGAGAAACATTGATGTGAGAGAAAGACATCCATTGGTTGCCTCCCACAGGACCCCAATCAGGGACAGGGACCAAACCACAACCAAGGTATGTGTCCTTGACCAGAATTGAACCCATGACTCTTTGGTCCATGGGCCGACGCTCTAACTGCTGAGCCAAACTGTCCAGGGCGTACAGTTAATATTTTATTTTATTTACCTATTCATTTATTTAAGTAGTGTGTCTTCTGTGGTAGAAGTATTAGGATGCAGTTCTTGCCTTTAACAGTCTCACAGTGTGATGTAATTTCTAAAGTAATAATAACTCACAGAGATAATTATAATGCAGTGTGGTAAGTAAAATGGTAGAGGTACGGACAAGGGATATTGAGTAGGTGTACAGGATGAACCGCTAATCTGACAAAGCAGGACTGGTTGACAGGGTAAAGGCACATTCTGAGTTGAGGAAGACAGCATGAGCAAGGCACAGAGGCTGGAAAATAAAAATGGTCTAGTCTGTTTATTTAAGTACAATCTGTTCTATATTTCTGGAGTATAGAGTAGGGGCGACACATTTTAATCTTTTAAGAGAAAGAGTAAATATTTTAAGTTTTGCAAGCCTTAGCCCCTCTGTTGCAATTATCCAGTTCTACTGCAGTAAGTAAAGGAATGGGCATGGCTGTGTTGCAGTGACATTTTGCAAAAGTAGCAGGCCTATATAGTCTTCTTGTGAGAGTGAGAATTCAGTGGCCAGAGTGAGGCTACAGAGCTAGGCATGATCTAGATCATACAAGATTTTGAATACTCTGTTAAGAAACTTAGTTTGAACAATGGACTGGCCACTGAAGATCTTTAAATCAGTAGATCACTGTGTACTATGAGAATGGATTTGAAGGGGACACATCAGTTTCTTTCAGTATTCAGATAATGGGTTTAACTAGTGCAGTGGCTAAAGCAAGGAAAATAGGAATGATCTGAGAAATATTTAAAGGAGGAATGTTTGGTAGCAATTAGTAATTGGTTAAATGTGGCATGTGAGTAGTAAGTACTCAAGGATGAATTCCGGTTCCTGGTTTGTGATGAGATACATAGTGGTGCCATTAATTAATATAGAATAAAGGAAAAATAGCTCTTGTAGAGGAACAGCAATACATTTATTTTAGTCCTAAGTGTGAGGAGCCTTTGAGACAGCCAAATTAGGATATCTACAAAGCAATAGTTATAGTAATAGAAGCTAAAAGTATTTGCGAGTCATCGGTATAGAAGTAGCTGAAGTCATGCAAATGGAAGAGCCCATCTGGGAAGAATTTGTTTAGAGCAGTAGTTTTTCAAGACGGAGATTGGTGAATTATTACGTTGAAAAAAAGTATTTTCAGTATTAAATATTTTACTTAAAACACAAAAGAAATATCTATATTTGTGATACAAACTATAGAAAACAAAGAATTAGAAAATTTTTTGAGGATATATAGAAAATAAACCGACTTCTGTTATTAAAGATTCTCAATTTTAAACATGTCTCCTACATGTTGAAAATAAACATGAATGATAGAGGATCCTGAGATTTTCTTTTAAGATATAGCAAAAGGATGCCCTGGCAAGTTTGGCTCAGCAGTTCAAACGTCTGCCCATGGACCGAAGGATCTTGGATTCTATTCCCAGTCAAAGGCACATACCTGGGTTGCAGGTTCAATCTCCAGCCCTGTCAGAGTTGTGCAGGAGTCAACCAGTCCGTGTGTCTTTCTCACATTAATGTTTCTCTCTCTCTTGCCTCCCTCTCTCTATCACCTCCCTCTCTTCCACTCTATCTAAAAATTAATGGATGCCCAGCTGGTGTGGCTCAGTGGCTTGAACATCATCCCATGAACTGAGGTCCTGGTTTGATTTCTGGTCAGAGCACATGCCCAGGTTGTGGGCTCAATCCCCAGTAGGGGGAGATCAGGGAGGCAGCTGATTGATGTTTCTCTCTCACACTGATGTCTCTCTCTCTCCCTCTCTCTCTCTCTCTCTCCCTCTCTCTCTCTCTCTCTCCCTCTCTCCCCCCCTCCCTCCCTCCCTCTTCCCCCCTCCCTCCCTCCCTCTTCCCCCCTTCCTCTCTCTCTCTAAAAACATTAATAAAAACCTGTTAAGCCCTGGCCGGTTTGGCTCAGCGGTTAGAGCATCGGCCTGCAGTCTGGAGAGACCTGGGTTCGGTTCCCGCTAGGGGCATGTACCTCGGTTGCATTTTGTCCCCGGCCCTGGTTGGTTGTGCGGGTGGCGGCCACTCGATGTGTCTCTTTCACATCGATGTTTCTCTCTCTCTCTCCCTCCCTCCCACTCTATCTGTACAAAAAAATGGAAAAATGTCCTCGGGTAAGGATAAAAAAAAAAAAAACCTGTTAAAAATTTTTTTTGAAATCAATGGAAAAATATCCTCAGGTGAAGATTAACAAAAAAAAGAAAAGAAAGAAAAGATATAGCGAAAGTAAACATTTGGTATGTTTTAAAAGTTTAAGAAATAATAATATAGGAAGAGGGAGAAGCATTGTGGCTAAAGAACACTACCTCCAGAAAACACCGTTTAAGAGGTAGTTCGGGGAAAAACTTCACAAGCAATAGAAAAAAATAAGAGCAGGATGGGGAGAACAAGTGAATTCACTGTCAGGTCAAGGAAATGGTTTCAGGGGCAACGGTGAGTTCAAATGAGGTAAAGACTAAAAAGTGCATGTTGAATTTGATATTGAGAATACCATTGGTCACTTTATTGAGATCAAACAATCTCAATACAGATCTCGAAATAGTGGAGTGGAAGTATGGGAGATGGGTTCAGTGGGAAGAGAACTTGTAGAGCATGTAGATTACTTATACAAGAAATTTGTATAAATAGAAGAGGGAAAGTGTTGAATATTCTTAGTCCATAAAAAAACAAAACCAAACAAAAACCTTTGTAAGCTTTTGAAATTGTCAGCAGTCTTTTTTGTTGAAAGCTGCCATTTTAATCTTTAATAGGAAAAGAACAACATGGAGATAGATATGACATACCAACTAAAAGTTATACAGCAGAGCTTAGAACAAGAAGAAGCTGAGCATAAAGCTACAAAAGCACGGCTGGCAGATAAAAATAAGATTTATGAATCCATTGAAGAAGCTAAATCAGAAGCCATGAAAGGTATGCATTTTTATAAGAGGGTTTTCCAGCAGCATTTTACTAAGAATTGATTCTATATTCAATTCTTTGGTTTCGAAAATATTTGTATATATTTTATTGCCAAATACTAGAAGGGAAACATTATTAGGGAAGCTTTACATATATATCTTTGCCTCCCCTCGCTCCATGGCAATAGTCATTTCTAAGACAGGAAGATTCAAATAAAATTATTCAACCTAATTTTTAGACCAGAGAGAAATTAATATTTTTGTGATAATTGATAGTGACAGACATACGAAGTCTAAAGTTCTAGATATATCTACTCAGATTGGGGGATATGCTCTTTTTTTGATAACTTTGTTTAACATTTCATCGACTTATGGTTCCTGCCACTTCCTTCAAGATAAGATTTTAAAATAATAGCTGACCTAACTATAATAGAAGCTCACTGGATATTTTGAGCTCTAGCATGATGAAGACACTAGCTAGATTTCGTCAAAACCATACAGTACTAATGAATGTAGGATAAGATAACAAAGTTAACTTTTTCACAAAGCAGCTTATATCTTAGAATTGTGTTAGGCTAATCACTTGTTTTCCAAACTGACTGTTTACATTATGATGGATTTGAAATTCCAAAGGAAATCAGTATTCTTGTGAAAGATTCATAAAACTCTTAACAGAAACTTTATTTCATATTGAAATACAACATTTATGAGTAACTTAGCAAAAAATAGGCTTTTATTATTAAATGTAATTGAAAGTAGGGGATTTTTTTGGTTGATATTTGTTTAAGCCACTAATTCAGTATGATAAAGATGAAGTGGGTGTTTTATTTAGAAAAATTGGTTAGAAGAGATGAAGTCAGTGGGCCATGTTTCCCTCTCTGTGGCCTAGAAGACAGAGTGGAATTTGATTGAGGTATAATTTGGTGCAATAAAATGCAAACACTTTTCACATTTTTAGCACCTGTAACCATCACCCAAAACAAGGTATAGCATTTATCTTTTCATCACCTCAGTAAATCTACTTATGCCTCTTTCTGTTTTCTGTGCCCACATTAGGGTGATTGTTTTTTTAAAACAAGTGTATTTGTTCATAGATTATTCTCTGAACTGATGAAATAAACAAATTCAGTATAATAATAAATACCATTTTTTTCAAACTCCTTTTTTACAACACTAACAGATGCGTGATGACTTTGGTGCTTTACAGTACACAAAACTTAAATGTTATAGATGGTACTCAAATCCGGGTCTAAAGCCTTTGATCTCACTGCAGGTCATTGCCTTCTTTGATTAAGAATATGACCTCACCATCAATGAATCACTAGCTATGTGACCTTGTCCAGTTGAAGGTTTTTTTCTTCTTTTTTTTTATTAATTTATTTATTTTTGTTACAGATGTTTCTCCTTTTTCCCCCAGTGATTCCCCCCTTCCCCTCCCTCCCTGCAGTTAAAGTTTTTGTGCTTTGTTTTCTATAAAGGGACAATTAAAGTATTAGTTGTGAAGACCAAGTGCAATGACACATGAAAAGTGCTTAGAGCCCTGGCTGGTTTGGCTCAGCAGTTAGAGTGTCGGCCTGTGGTCCAGAGAGACCTGGGTTCAGTTCCTGCTAAGGGCACATACCTCAGTTGCAGTTTGTCCCCGGCCTTGGTTGGGTCATGCGGGTGGCAGCCACTCAATGTGTCCCTTTCACGTCGATGTTTCTCTCTCCCTTCCTCCCACTCTATCTGAACAAAATGTGGAAAAGTGTCCTCGGGTGAGGATTAAAAAAAAGAAAAGTGCTTAGAAATACTAGCTATTATTAGTATGTGAAGAATAGTTTTATTTTTTCACACTTTTGAAGACAGTTCATTAAAAACTGAAAATTCATAGGTTTAATTTTTACTTAACATAACTTTGTAGTAAATGATAATTAGATATTGAGCATTAGGTATGAAGGAGCAGAGGAACCTAGCTGGATTTGAACAGATTTTCTAATCGGAATATTAAAAGGTAATTCTGCCCGACCGGTGTGGCTCAGTATCAGTGGATTGAGTATTGTCCCTTGGACTGAGAGGTCCCTGTTCAATTCCTAGTCAGGGCACATGACCATGTTGTGGGCTCAGTCCCCAGTAGGGGGCGTGCAGGAGGCAGAAGAGCGATGTTTCTCACTTCGATGTTTCTATCTCTCCCTTCCTGTCTCAAAAAAAAGATAATTCTTTAAAAGATAATGTAATAACTTACATTAATAGGGAATCACCTAATTAGACATAAACTTTGCCTGCTCTACACCTTGAGATTGAAAAAGGCTTTTAAAAGCCTTTTCTGATTAATAAAAACAGTTAAAAGCTATTGCAAATCACTTAGAAAATATAGGAAAGTATAAAGGTTAGCCATAGTCCTAGTAATCAGGGTGACATGTATTTTCTTTCTTTATTTTTTTTTTAAGTTTTGCTTTTTTTCTTTTAAAAATATTATGAACATTTTTTTAGGTCATTAGAAAATTTCTTTTTAATAGTGAGCACTTACCAAGTGTTTGCCATACTCAAGGCAGCATCTAAATGCTATATATATATATAAACTCGAAATCTGTATAATATCCCTATAAGGTAGGTACTGTTATCACCATTCTAGAAATAAGGAAACTGAGCTTCAGAGAGGTTAATTAACTTGACCAGTCAAATAATTAGGGAAGTGTTAGAGCCAGGATTTAAACTCTGGAAGTTTGGTCCTCAACCATCTCCTTAAAACATAGTTTTCATCCTCTGCCTAGTAATTTGCTAATATGGAAAGAGCCATAGAGGTCAAAGAATCTACCTGAATGTTTTAAGATAAGGATAAGACAAGTAACACTGACAGGCACGGAATAGCAGGAAAATAAAAGAAATCTTTATTTAAAATATATAAGTATCTTTTTCAAAAAAATCCTTGCCCAAGGATATGATTATTGATTTTATTTTTATTTATTTTTTTTAGAGAGAGAGGATAGGTGGGGGGAGAGAGAAAAAGAAACATTGATGTGAGAGGTAAACATTGATCACCACAACTAGGAATTGAACCCACAACCTAGGTATATGCTCTGACAGGGAATTGATCTCAAAACGTTTGGTGTACGGGACGACCCTCCAACAAACTGAGATACACAGCCAGGGCTAAAAGATAAAAGTATCTTTTAGAATCATAAGTAAAGGTAGAATTATTTTATTTCCATTACAACAAATGTAACTTTGCAAAGTGTGGTAAATTTTTATGCCCTGCAAATGAAATACCTAATTTTTTTTTTTATATTCCTCATCTGAGGATATTTTTCTGTTTATCATCAGACAGAGTGGTAGGGAGGGAGGAAAAAGGCAGTGAGAAACATGGATGCAACAGAGCCACATCGACTAGTTGCCTCCATGTCACATGACCCAACCAGGGCCAGGGACGAACCATAACTGAGGTACATGCCCTTGACCAGAATCGAACCTGCAACTCACTGGTCCATGGGCCGACGCTCTAACCGCTGAGCTAAACCGACCAAGGCGAAATTCCTAATTTTTCAGCATGAAACTGTTATTTCAAATAGGAGTAATGAAAATATTAAACTGGGGATTTAAAAATATTTTTAAGGAACATCATTTACTATAATTCTTATTAGCATCATGTGATGTGTTTGATATGCTTCTTTTGTTTGTAAATTCACAATTATGTTTGTTTTTATGGCAATAGAAATGGAAAAAAAGCTCTTGGAGGAAAGGACTTTAAAACAGAAAGTAGAGAACCTGTTGCTGGAAGCTGAGAAAAGATGCTCTATATTAGACTGTGACCTCAAACAGTCACAGCAGAAAATAAATGAACTCCTTAAGCAGAAAGATGTGCTGAATGAAGATGTAAGTATGCTCACTAATAAATAATTTAATGAATTAATAGTAAACTAGGTTTATTTGTAAAGGTACAATGATAGTTTCACAATTAAAATTTTTTTCTTATAAAATGATATTTTACAACCTTTAAATTTTACTGAATTTGGATAATATACTAAATAATAATTTTAAGTTATTTTTACCATAAAAGCCATATTTTATTTTTAAAATATAACATTATCAAAGATCCAAAAAAATATTTTACTGTGAAATGAATTCACTGCCTGAGGGCAAAAATCTGTTTTGCATCATCAGATATGCTGCCAACTTCATTGAAAAAAAAAAATCAAAATAATTTACTTACATACCAAGTACACAATTTATTTTTTAGGTTAGAAACTTGACATTAAAAATAGAGCAGGAAACTCAAAAGCGGTGCCTCACACAAAATGACTTGAAGATGCAAACACAGCAAGTCAACACACTAAAAATGTCAGAAAAGCAGTTAAAACAAGAGAATAATCATCTCATGGAAATGAAAATGAACTTGGAAAAACAGAATGCTGAACTTCGAAAGTAAGTTAATTGTTTGAGACAAAGCTTTACTAATATACACAACTATTCACATGTAAATTACCTTGATTTTTGTTTATCTGGGGATTTTTTTGACCATTTCATTTTCTTGACCATGTTGTTTCGTTTTTTCTATACAACTAATGTGTGGAGCGCCACTATTGTTCTTCAAGATATTTGCTTCTCCAACAGTTTTTTACTACTGGCACCTTATTATGCTATTATGATAGAAAGAGTGGTGGTATTAGAGCAAAGGAAAATATCTGGGACTTTCACCCCGTGCTCTTAAGAGTCCTTTTGGGACTGACCCTCATGCTTATTGTCTGTGTATTTTTTGTTTGTCCTTTAGTGCCTGGGACCTGGAAATGTTTCACTGTTAAGCAAATACCATATACATTTTTAAGTCACTTTTTAAGGATATACTTTAGTGCTCTATTTAATTTACTTAGAAAAGAGAAAACATATTTAAATACATTTTTGAAAAACAATAATTTGTATTTTTTTAATAAGCCTAGAATTAACTTATGTCAACCTAACCTCTTAAATGGGGTGTTAGGCTCACTTTTAATTTTAATTTTTTGTTTAATTTTATTTCTTTACTGATGATTAACATACATACAGAAAAAGCACACACATGACAAGTATAGGGTTCACAAAGTGTACAAATCTGTGCAGTCACCATTATATTTAGATATAAAACCTTGCACCCCCTACCTTCCCTCAGGCCCTCTCCCAGTCATTTCTTCATTCATGTAAAATAAACAATTTGGGGTGCTCTTTTAATTCTAGAATTTGGTTGGCATAAGTAGCTGATTATGGTGCATGTATGAAAAATTTAGTGTTACAGGTTTAATTTAGCCCTATTTGGTCTCTTGATACTCTTAAAAATTATTGAGGGTCAAAGAATGTTTGTTTATGTGAGTTATATCTAATGATATATTTTTGTCTTAGAAATTAAAACAGATAATTTTAAAACACAAAAACATAAAAGCACACATTTCATTAGCTGTTGGAGTGATGACATCATGATACGTCCTTTAGCCTTAAGAAAAATTCACATACACTAGTGAGAGAAAGGGTTTTAAAAAAAACAATGAGCCCTGGCTGGTTTGTCTCAGTGGCTGGAGTGTCAGCCTACGGACCAGAGAGTCCCGGGTTAGGTTCCTACTAAGGGTACATACCTTGGTTGCAGTTTGTCCCTGGCCCCAGTTGGGGTTGTGTGGGTGGCAACCAGTCAGTGTGTCGCTCACATCAATGTTTCTCTCTCTCTCTCTCTCCCTCTCCCCGCCCCCCCCCCCCCCCCCCCCCTCTGCTCTATCTGAAGATAAATGCAAAAATGTCCTCGGGTAAGGATAAAAAAAAAATGATGCTTATTTGGTATTATGAAAATGATATGATTTCAATAAACTTTATACATGCACTGTAAACTTTAGACCCTTTACTGAAGGATCTCAGGGACTCCTAGGGATACCCCAGACCACATTTTAAGAGTTGCTGGTTTAATATGTATGTAACATATTTAAACATTTGATTTAATATTACTGCAGAGAACGTCAAGATGCAGATGGGCAAATGAAAGAGCTCCAAGATCAGCTTGAAGCAGAACAGTATTTCTCAGTAAGTTCCAGACACATTAATTTGAAAATTGTTGTGTTTGTAGAATTAAAAATTTTGCTGCAGAGCCAGGAGAATGATTCTTGTCTTTACAATAGTTTATATTATCATTGTTAAAAAAAAAAATAGTTCTAAACACTCGCCCATACCTTATGAAGTTGATTAAAAGCACTGCTTCTAGAGGAATACTATGTTTTCATTATGAAAGAAATAAAATTATCATTTTGAGCTCAGTTTTAAAATATGACATAGTAACTGTCACCTCTGTTTCATTGATTCAAGCCAAAAAAAATTATCTTGTCTAAATTAGTAATATATTTGGCCTCTTCATCTCTACTAATTTGTGTCTTAAAGAGAAATCTCAGTATGATATTCAGTTGAAAATCATGCTCCAAATTATTAGCTTAACTTTATTAGTTAATTGGTTGATTACAAGAAAATAAAAAAGCTTATTAAAACTATTAATTTGCTCAGAGGCTTAACATTACTTAGTGTTTTGTATGTACTCAACTTTTTGTCTGGATGGATTTTGAATGTAGAAATAATATTCTTGATGATGATGATGATATATGTTTCTGTTATATTTTGCTGTTTAGACACTCTATAAAACACAGGTTAGGGAACTTAAAGAAGAATGTGAAGAAAAGACCAAACTTTGTAAAGAATTACAGCAGAAGAAACAGGAACTACAGGATGAAAGGTATGGACAGGCTCCTAGGTTTTTTGTTCATATCCATGTGCTCTGCTCCTAGAAGAATGATCTGCTGCACTCCAAAAAAATTGTTGATGAAGTGAATTAGACAAAAACTGTGACTTCATAGTGAAAATTGAAGCTGATATATCTCTAAAATGTAGGGACTCCTTGGCTGCTCAACTGGAGATCACCTTGACCAAAGCAGATTCTGAGCAACTGGCTCGTTCAATTGCTGAAGAACAGTATTCTGATTTGGAAAAAGAGAAAATCATGAAAGAGCTGGAGATCAAAGAGATGATGGCTAGGCACAAACAGGAACTCAGTGAAAAAGATGCTACAATTGCATCTGTAAGTAAAATTCTTGGTTCTTTTTCTATTATCAAATTACTATACCATAAATCTTCCTTAGAAGCACTAGGAAAATAACAGATTCAAATGAAAAATTATACATGATGGCTGCTATTTTCGATCCACTTAACCATCAGCTTCTCAGTATTTCCGCCCATCACATTGGCAGAAATTTAGTATCTTGACTAATTTTAAATGTTTGAAGGATGTCTGGAAAATGACATTCATACTTACTACTATGGGGAGTGTAGTAAATGGCATAGAATAGTATAGTAAATAGTATGGCAATTTCCAGTAAATTTCAAATATTCATATTATCCGAAGAAAGTCCACATCAAGATAAATACGCTAGAGGAATTCAGGCACAATACTTATAGCAGCAAACATGTTTGTAATAACAAAAACTCAGATATCTCATCAATAGATGAATGAGTGGATGGATGAATTGTGGTAGAAGATGGAGTTACTATATCAATGAATATAAAAGGATATCGACTTCTTCAGTAAAATTTTATTTTCTGTTTTAAAATAATGTTCTGAAAGAAATACTGCAGTTTTAAATTTTTTCTTCTGCAAGATGGAATGAAGAGCTTTGTTACAGTATTTGCTTTTTTTAGTTTATCAAATGTTTTTCTCATTTAAAACACTGGTGAGGATATTTGAGAAAGGGGCAATTTTTTGGCTTCCTGGGGTGCATATGAAGTCTGTTGTGGTTAGTGACATTTTCTTCACTAGTGAAGCTTGGTAAAGTAGCACAAAGACAGGAAGTTTAGAGAGATAGGTGAACTTAGAAAACAGAAGGTTTAGTAACATTCTAGGATATCTTTATTTTGAATTATTGTTTAATAACCTAAGTTTGTAACTGAGGAAATGATACTGATTCCACTTTAATTTCTTAGCTTGAAGAAACTAATAGGACACTAACTAGTGATGTTGCCAATCTTGCAAATGAGAAAGAAGAATTAAATAACAAATTGAAAGATGCCCAAGAACGTATGTATTAACAAAGAATGTTCATTTTAAATATATATAATAGTGATCAGTGGTTTAGTTATCAATATAATGTTGACATTTTTCTGTTTTAGAACTGTCAAGGTTGAAAGATGAAGAGATAAGTGCAGCAGCTATTAAAGCACAATTTGAGAAGCAGCTATTAACAGAGAGAACACTCAAAACTCAAGTATGTATAATAAACTCTAAATAGGATTTTGAAGTTTTTTTTTAGTTTATGTCTTTTTCCGTTTACTTCTGGCATTACAGACTGGCCGTAGTTGTCATTGACTGTATAAGTATTTATGAACAGTCACAATTATCTGATTTTTACCAGTTTAGTAGAAGCTAGATTTGATTAACATTGTCTAGTTCAATGTTTATTAAATTTTTTTGTTAATTTTTCTATGTGGAATCACATTCCCTCCTAATTCCCTCCTAAGAAACTAAAGAGAATGACCATTTGCTGACAGCCTGAAAAAGGGTCAATATGAAAAAGTACCTGTGATTGTTGACCATTCTTCTGCCAACTCTCATGGTTGTATATACGGCACCAATACTTGTGGTTCCCAGGTGCTCTGCTCTGTGGTTGGACATGTATTTATTAATGTGATACCACTGCAAAATTCTCTTCAGGGTAAAAGAAGATCTGCCTACTAAAAGTCTCTCTTGAAACTAAAAACTCAAAGTAGTAGAAAGTGACATCAGTTCAAACCTATAACATTTTAAATCACAGTTTTCAGAAAACATGAGTGCAAAACTAATTGAATATAGGTTGGGGAAGGATAATGAGTAATAAAAGGAGGTGTGTTACTTAATATGCAATGTGTTTCTTTATGGCCCTGTGTATAGGGAAGGAGATTATCAGTGGTTATATAATTTGTTATTAGTGAGTTACCAAGAAACCATCAACATAATGTTTTTATTTATTTATGTATTTATTTTTATATTTTTAAGGCTGTGAATAAGTTGGCTGAGATCATGAATCGAAAAGAACCTATCAAGCGTGGTAGTGATACAGATGTGCGGAGAAAAGAGAAGGAGAATAGAAAGCTACATATGGAGCTTAAATCTGAACGTGAAAAATTGACCCAGCAGATGATCAAGTATCAGAAAGAACTGAATGAAATGCAGGCTGTAAGAATACTTTTTGAACTCTAGATTAAACACGTATTTTTTAAGAAGTAGAATTATTTTCATGTCTATATATATTTTATTGGTTATAGAATGGACATTTCTATTAATGGTTATTGAACTAAGAAGCAAAATTATGAGATATATGGCATCCAGTTAATTTAATATAATTTAATTTCTCATAGCAAATAGCTGAAGAGAGCCAGATTCGAATTGAACTGCAGATGACACTGGACAGTAAAGACAGTGACATTGAGCAGCTGCGGTCACAGCTCCAGGCCTTACATATGGGAATGGACAGTTCCAGTACAGGCAGTGGACCAGGGGATGCTGAGGCAGATGATGGGTTTCCAGGTACAAACTTGTTTTCAACCTTTATGTTTATTTTTACTAAAAGCCTTTTGTCTTAAATATAAATCTGTTGATCGTTTAAGCCAGCGGTTCTCAACCTATGGGTTGCGACCCCTTTGGGGATCAAACAACCCTTTCACAGGGGTCGCCTAAGACCATCGGAAAACACATATTTCCAATGGTCTTAGGAACGGAGACACCGCTCCTCTGTCCACCTCCAGGCGGGTCCGTCCATATGCAGATACGCCCACGTGCAACATGACCTGTATCAAGGGGGGGGGGGGGGCATTGGGAAGGCTGAGAACCACTGCTTTAAGCCCTAGGCCTGACTTTGTTCTTGAGGAAAAATGTCATTTCTTTAAGGGAAAACCTACCCCCTTGGAGTGGGGATTCAAACAACAATTTAAACTTACTATACTTAGTGGTTTTTGACAAAATTTTTCATTAAAAAATGCAAAAGAGTATTCCACATATATAATTATTTAAATTAGCTCAGTATATATTATAGGCAGCTCTCTTTTTAAGCTTTCATTTCATTTTCTCTTAACTCTTTTTTGCATTCTTACTTTTTTTATGTTGGGTCTTTAGTTCATATCACTCAATCACACACAATGGAATCCATGTCATTCACCTACCAACGTTCCTCTACCTCTCTCAATATTGCCACTAAGCCTTCCAGTTCTCATATGCTTCTTGACTCTGATACTGACTCAGAAGAAGAATCTTTGCCTTACTTACCTGTTTCGTCGGAACCTAATGATGATACAGGTGATATCCTGAAAATCTCTCACCTTTGGGGTTTTTCTCACTACCCTTAATTTTAGGCCTTGTGAAAACTTTTGTAACATCAACTAATATTCACTAACAAGTTTCTCTAGTCTCAATTAAAAAGAGACTGCTGCATGAACAGAGAGTTTGTTTTTAGGATATTTGCACATGGCATTGCTATTACAATTTATAGATTTATTTTGTCAGCTTACAAGAAATGAGGCAGTACTTTGTATCATTTAAGAGCATACGATTTCACCCGGCTGGTGTGGCTCAGTGGTTAAGTGTCGACCCATGCACCAAGAAGCTGCCAGTTCGATTCCCGGTCAGGGCACATGCTCAGGTGTAGGCCCAATTCCCAGTGGGGGGGCATGCAGGAAGCGACTAATCGATGTTCTCTCTCATTGATGTTTCTATCTCTTCCTCTCCCTTCCTCTTTCTCTAACATCGATAAAAATAAAAATTTTAAAAAGAGCAGATGGCCCGGCTGGTGTGGCTCAGTGGTTGAGCATCGACCCATGCATCAAGAGGTTGCCAGTTCAATTCCTGGTCAGGGCACATGCCCAGGTTGTGGGTCCAGTCCCTAGTGAGGGGCCTGCAGGAGGTGGCCAATCGATGTTCTCTCTCATCGATGTTTCTCTCTCTCTCCCTGTCCTTTCCTCTCTAAAAATCAGTAAAGGAAAAAATTTAAATAAAAAAAAAGAGCATACGGTTTCACTGCCTGTTTCATCCATTTTCAAACAAGAAAAAAAAACTTTCTGAAGTTTCATATCAAGAGTGACAATACAAAAAAGCATACAGACTGTTTCAGAGGATGTGCTTGGGTTTCATTGTGTTTCCTAGGCAGCATTTTGTAGGCCTTAAAAGAGAGTACAAGATAATTTTTCCTGATCCTTTCTCTTGTTATAGTTTAAATGAAACTGTAGAAAATATATAAAATTATGTTTAACACAAACTTAGTATAAGTACAAAAAATATACAATGTAAATGCCTCAGAAATTACTATATGAGCAGTTGAATATAAGGTAAAATTTAGTCTCTTATTAATTGAATTCAAAGTAAAATAACCATCTCACTTATTTGTGGAATATAATGAACTAAACAAATTGCTGAACAAAGTTAACCCAGAGACATGGAGGTGGGGTACAGGCTGACAATCCTCAGAGGAGGGGGGCATTTGTGGGGAAAGAGATAAACCACAGAACTTACGTGCATGTATGCATGACCAATGAACATAGAAAACAAAGTTGGGGATGGGGTGGGAGGGAAGGGGAGGAGGGTCTCAATGGGGGAAAAATCAGAAACATCTGTAACAAAAACAAATTAATAAATAAAAAAATTTTTTTAATAAAAAAAGGAAAACCATAATTATTTATGTTGTCACCACATTTTCTGGGTATATTTATATATCAATATGTAATATAAATCATAAGTAATTGTATTGAAGTTGTAGAGCTTAGCAAGAAAATTATTTCAGTCTTATGCATAGTGTTAGAGGTCATTTGATTTAGTCTAGTCCCTTAAGCTGGTATAGGACCCTATCCAGACAACTGAACATGTGGGCTGTTTTTTTTTCTTTTTTTTTTTTAATATGTTTGTATTGATTTTTATAGAGAGAGAAGAAGGGAAAGAGATAGAAACATTAATGTGTGAGAGAACCGTCAATTGGCTGCCTCTTACATGCCCTGACCGGAATCGAACGTGGACCTCACTTAATCCACTGAGCCACACTGGCTGGGCTTGTGGGCTGTTTTTTGTTTGTTTGTTTTGTTTTTTTTAATCCTCAACTGAGGATATTTTTCCATTTATCTTCAGATAGAGTGGGAGGAGGGAGAGAGAGAGAGAGAAACATCAACGTGAGAGAGATACATTGATTGGTTGCCTCCCATACTACCCTGACCAGGGTGGGGGACCAACCACAACTGAGGTACATGCCCTTGACTGGAATCATACTCAAAACTCTTCAGCCTGCAGGCTGACGATCTAACCACTGAGCAATACCAGCCAGGGCATGTGGGCTATTTTTAATGGCATTGTTTCTGTTTAGACAGTTTGGAAGGTTGTTGATGTGATGTGATAAGAGTATATGGGCACTACAGTAGAGACTTATCCGTGCGACCTTTCTGTGAGGTGGTGAGGATTAAAGAAGTTTAGGTAAAGCATCTAGCACAGTTCAGACATGTAGTAGGTGTTAAGTAAAAGCTACTTTTATTATTAGAACAATGTCTAAAAAAATGATCTTTCACTTGATTCTTTTATTAAAAGATGCTGATCAAATGCCAGTAGAACAAACTCTAAGGATTCTGTTTTCTTTACTAGAATTGTATTGATTTTGATATTTTGGAATTTAGAAATATTTTGGTTATATTGCTACTCATTAATCAAATTTGATCTGTAATTTACATAATTTTATTATAGCCATTCTAAAAGTTCATTTTTTCTGAACATGCAATTACTCACTTAAAATATTCTCTCTTTGAAGAAAATGTGCAGTATATATCTATAGTTAGGCCTCCTTCCAAAGGAAAAACAAAGGATTCTAATACAGGTGTATTAATGAGAATAAAAAGCTGCTTCCCTTTTTTGCAACTTTTCTGCTGAACTTTGCAAATGCATGAATTTAATCAACAGGGCATTTGACTTTATAAACTGTAGAATATATTTTTCCAATGTGATATAACCTGGATTTTGTTTTGCATTGCGTAACTTGCTTATACTGATCCTGCATTATTATTATATCTTAGATAATATACAGTAGTAAATTCTGAAGGGCATAAGTGATTTGTTTTGTGACTTTTCTATTAAAATTTTATTAAATTCCTCGTTTCCTTAGAATTGCTATATTTATCCTCATATTTTGTTTATCTATAGAATCAAGACTAGAGGGATGGCTTTCACTGCCTGTGAGAAACAATACTAAGAAGTTTGGATGGGTTAGAAAGGTAATTGGTACTTTTGAATATGGTTTTTTTGCTTTGCTTTTGGTTGGTTTAGCGACATACAGCCATTTCACTTTTGTAGGTATAAGATTCATATAACTTATATAACTAGAACATTGAGACACATAAAACTTTACACTTTCTGTTTTGGAATGACATGATTTTATATATCTTTGTAAAAAATAAATTTTAATAATGTATTGTTAATAATAAAACAGGTTTGGTATTAGGAAAACAGAAACCTATGGACCTTGGTGCTTTTGCTTTTTCAGTAGGAAAGCTCTAGATATGACAGAAAGGCCCATTTATTTCTTTTCCTCTGTTACTATGATTACTGATGTTATGTTAGTTTTTGATGTGTCTTAATTCATTCAGGCTGCTGTGACAAAATACCACAGGCTGCTGGGTAGCTTATGGAAAACAGAAACTTATTTTTCACAGTCTGGAGACTGGAAGTCCAGAGTACGAGCTTGCTTGGGTTCTGTGAAGGCCCTCTTTCAGGTTGCAGACTCCTCACTGTCCTCATATGGGAGAAGGGGCGAGGGATCTCTCTAGAACCTCTTAGATAAGACCATTAGTCCTGTTCATGAGGATTTCCTCTCGTGACCTAATCTCCTTCCAAAGGCCCCGCCTCCTAATGCCATCCCATTAGGTGTTAGGATTTAACATGAATTTGGGGCGAACATAAACACTCAAACCATAGCAATAGGTTACCTAAGCTATTGGATCTTAAGTTAAATCAGTCCAAAACATATTTGAATTCATTTTCAATTTGCTTATTTAAATTATATACGAACAAAATGTATTATTTTAAGGAAGACTTTTCTAAGAGTATATTAAGAACTTTTTAGTTATTTAACTTAGGTATTTTATATGATTTTTATTGCTAATAGAGAATTTATTTTTAAAGAAAATAAATAATATATACATATCGACTTTAATCATTGTTTAATTTCTTCCCTTCTTTTTAACAGTATGTGATTGTGAGCAGTAAGAAGATTCTCTTCTATGACAGTGAACAAGATAAAGAACATTCTAATCCTTACATGGTTTTAGATATAGAGTAAGTGTTTTTATTAGAATATTTAGGAACTTCATTTTTTTTAAATTTAATTTTGTTTTATTTTCCATCACCATTTATCCCCCCTATAACCTCTTCTACCTCCACCCACCCTGGCAATCACCACACTGTTGTCTGTGTCAGTGAGTTCTTTCTCTTTTAAGAACTTCATTTTTTTAAAGTATAAGGGAGTAACGACATTTTTTGTCAAGTTAGTGCAATATAATAGTCACATAGTATATGTATTTACTCAAATAGTATAGCTCCTGCTGTACTATTGTTACATTCTCTTATATTTGCTTCATGCAGATGGATGTCTGGGATATAGAATTAGCTAAAACATTTTTATTTCATGGATATTTAACTATGTTGGTTTCTGAAACTAAATAAAAAAATTTTTGACGTACTGAAAATTTCTCTAAATCTCAAGGAGTGGTTAATATAATAGAGCAATATATCCTCTGACCTTCTAATATGGGTCAAAGTTGTCAGTTTTAACTTCTAGTATAGGATAACTAATGTAATTTGATCTTCTGGTAATATTTTATTTCTTTATTAAAAAATCTTTTATAGCAAGTTGTTTCATGTCCGACCAGTTACACAGACAGATGTATATAGAGCAGATGCTAAAGAAATTCCAAGGATATTTCAGGTAAACATCATTTTATTTTGTTTTTTGGTTGGATGGTTATTTTTGTTTGTTTTCTTTCACCTTTAGAGATAAGAGTGATATGACATTCCGAATTTTTTATTCTTGGGCTATCTTCAAATTACCTTTCAATTTTAGTCCCATTTAAAGGTGGTTCATTCTTTTGTGATTTTCATGCCTATTCTGTTTGTATATATATTCATTATTCTCTCCATTTTACATTTAAAGTCTGTAGTGTATTTGTATCATGTTTCTGGCCTTTGCTATTCTTTTGTTCAAGGTTGCTTATGACATTTTTTAGCATAAACTTTCTCCTTCTGTTTTTGGTTTTGTGTTCAGCTCTCTAGAAAGTGAAAAAAAGTTGCTTACAAAGTTAAATTTTGCACCCAGTAGCCCATTCCTTCTAAGTTAAAGTGAAGCCAGATTCTTTTTTTACTACCTCCATTTTAAAATGAGTCCAACCAACAATTAGTTACTGAGCTCCTTCTGTGTAAAAGTCAATGTGCTTGGTGTAGTGTAGGGGATTATTTTCTTGTGCTTATCATATTTATTTGGAGTATATCATACATCTTTTCCTCTTTTTCTTTCTTCCTCAATTCTCCAAACACAAATCTTTTCAGTTATAGCTATGTTTGCAGTTATTACCAGTTAATCTGTTTTTGAGAATCATAAAGCATATAATTGCCACATTTCTTCAGTTGATTGATTTGAACACTCCGTGCCAGAAAAACTTTTTAACACCAATCAAGCACAAATTTGCCTTTTGCTAGCCTGTTCTGATAAAACTGCTGAAACATAGTAAGATATCATGGACAAAAAAAGGAGGCACCAAGGCACCATGTGAACATGTTGATTCTTTTGAAATGAACCAAAGTAACTGTATAATGACTTTTCTCATATAAGCTCTTCATGAGACAGAACTGACTAACGTTTGAATGTTAGGAGCATTTTCTTCTTATTGAATAATTTAGGTTAATTTTATTTTATTTATACTGTAAGAATTGTTACTATATTAAAAATAACATGTTTATTTTTATCCTCACCCTAGGACATTTTTTTTTTTTTTTCCATTTTTTGTTCAGATAGAGTGGGAGGGAGGGAGAGGGAGAGAGAGAGAGAGAAACATCGATGTGAAAGGGACACATCGAGTGGCTGCCACCCACACAACCAACCAGGGCCGGGGACAAACTGCAACCGAGGGACGTGCTCTTCGCGGGAACTGAACCCCGGTCTCTCTGAACCGCAGGCCGATGCTCTAACCGCTGAGCAAACCGACCAGGGCTAAAAAATAACATGTTTAGAAAGCACACATTTTGCTTTTTGTTATTTATAGATTCTGTATGCCAATGAAGGAGAAAGTAAGAAGGAACAAGAATTTCCAGTGGAGCCAGTGGGAGAAAAGTCAAATTATATTTGCCACAAAGGACATGAATTTATTCCTACACTCTATCATTTCCCAACCAACTGTGAGGCTTGTATGAAGCCATTGTGGCATATGTTCAAACCTCCTCCTGCTTTAGAGTGCCGTCGCTGCCATATTAAATGTCATAAAGATCACATGGACAAAAAGGAGGAGATTATAGCACCTTGCAAAGGTAAATAGTAAATTATTTGCTCCACCAGTATTATTAATGTTCATATCATTTTAAATGCAATAATATTCTTTCAAATATTTTTATAGTGTATTATGATATTTCAACGGCAAAGAATCTGTTGATACTAGCAAATTCTACAGAAGAGCAGCAAAAGTGGGTTAGTCGGTTGGTGAAAAAGATACCTAAAAAGCCTCCAGCTCCAGACCCTTTTGCACGGTCATCTCCTAGAACTTCAATGAAGATACAACAAAACCAGTCTATTAGACGGCCAAGTCGACAGCTTGCCCCGAATAAACCAAGGTAATAATAAAAAACATGGTAAAGTGTTTTTAGAAATGTTTTACTATTCCTATTCTCAAACTACAAATTTTTCTACTTAGTTTTCTTTTCTTGAAATTTTAATGAACTGTGCAATACCACATGTTTGAAACTAAGCATGCATGCCTCATTGATTTAGGTGAATGTAATATAAATTTATTTACTAAGTCACACATATATATTACACTCAACCAAAAATATATAAAGGGCTCATTTTTGTCATGTTTATGTATATAATCATAACATTTAGGATTGTATAAGCACATTGACTAACTTAGTAATTTAGTGGATAGGATGCACACAGGTCTCTAAGTGTTAGATACACACATTTTGTTTGGTATTGTAAACTTCTTAAACCTCTTATATTAGATGACTTGGGAGGCAGGACTGAAATCTTAAATTCTTAATTCAAATTTCTAACTTGTCTATTAGTTAAAGAGCAACATAGATCAGCTTTAAAAATGCCAGTGTGGCTCAGTGGTTGAGCATCAACTCATGCACTAAGTCACTGGTTCAATTCTCGGTCAGGGCACATTCCCAGGTTGTGGGTCTGATCCCCAGTTGGGGGCATGCAGGAGGCGTCCAGTAGATGTTCTCTCTCATCGATGTTTCTAGCTCTCCCTCTCCCTTCTCTACAATTAATAAAGGAAAAAAATTTTTTAGAAAATGCAGATACTAATGGGTACAATGGACATTCCTTGTACTTGAGGTGGAGTTAGGAATATGGAGTAAGTTCAAAGGATCATTAATACACAAAAATATTTTTGGGGATCCATTTTTATACGGCTGCATTATAGTAATGTAGTTCTTCATTCAGAATAAACCGTTTCTTGTCTTACTAGATGCTATACCATTTATAAATATTGCTATTCATTAAAATGAACATGAAGATTTGGTTAGCTAAAGGATAAAATACATACCTAGATCTAGTATCTAATGTCAGGTGCCCTTTTTGTTCCCTAACACAGGGCCTTCAGTATATGAATAGTGATGTGCATTGGCTGTGTTATCAGAAATGTTTCCATTCTAACCACAAACATCTTACATGAAACTTTTCTTGAAATTAATATCTCAAGGAAATAATTTAGAATGACAAAGGTAGAATTGGTGTTTCAGCAGTGAAAATGTTGAATTTTTGTATGAGGTATGCTAAAAATATTATAAAAATAGTGATTATGTGCCCTGGCCAGTTTGGCTCAGCGGTTAGAGCGTCGGCCTGCGGTCTGGAGAGACCCGGGTTCGGTTCCCGCTAAGGGCACGTACTTCGGTTGCAGTTTGTCCCCGGCCCTGGTTGGTCGTGCGGGTGGCGGCCACTCGATGTGTCCCTTCATGTCGATGTTTCTCTCTCTCTCTCCCTTCCTCACTCTCCCTCCCACTCTATCTGTACAAAAAATGGAAAAATATCCTCGGGTGAGGATAAAAAAAAAAAAAAAGTGATTATGTGATAGTAATTAAGCTGAAGAAACTTAAAGAATTCAGAGACACTCATGGTCATTCCGTATGCCATGTGTCAAAAATCTAAAAATTATTAAATTTCTAGTATTAATATTGGAGAACTATTAATGCATAATTTTTTTTTTATTTTTTTTTTAATCCTCACCCGAGGATATTTTCCCATTTTTGGTACAGAGAATGGGAGGGAGAGAGAGGAAGGGGGGGGAGAGAGAGAGAAACATCGACATGAAGGGACACATCAAGTGGCTGCCACCTGCACGACCAACCAGGGCCAGGGACAAACTGCAACCGAAGTACGTGCCCTTAGTGGGAACCGAACCCAGGTCTCCGGACCGCAGGCCGACGCTCTAACCGCTGAGCCAAACTGGCCAGGGCCATAAATATTTTAATGCTTTACAATATATAGTGCTTTACACTTCTGAAGTACTTCCGTATATAATTTAACTCTTTATATATTCTTTTTTTTTTGGTATGTGCCCCTAGTTGCTAGAGCCTAGTGGAAACTGAACCCGGGACTCTGGTCCGCAGGCCGATGCTCCAACTGCTGCGCCAAACCGGCCAGGGCTTATATATTCTTTTATTTGATCTTTAAAATACTCCTGTGGGGTAGATTTGGTATTATCTTTCTTTTTGATTCAGACTCTAGAAGAGCAAATAATTTGTTTAGTTTCAGGACAATAAGAATGCTAGTCTTTTTATATATTTTATTCTTCTGTCCTGCTTGACAAATTAATGATTTCACTACATATGATAACACATGGAATTAGTATATATAAAAAAACAATTTTCAGACAAAGTGAGGCACATTTCATTTATATAACAGTTTCATGTTCACTGACTTTCCTTCTCTCCATCTCCTCCAATTCAGCATCATGGTCTATTTGAAAGCACATTTACTTTTGATTTTTGTTATTTTTTGTTTTGTTTTAGTTCTGGCCCTGCCCTTCGAATCATTCTTCATTGATTTTTTAAATACATTTTGCATAGCAACAGTAAGTAATAGGGATTTCTTTCTCTCACAACTGTGCATGTAGATCAAACTAATAGCAAAACTGACTGTAAAATGTGTAGGGTATTTTTGTGAAAAATTTTAATCTAATATACTCTGAAATTTTAAATGTAAAGACGGGCACATTTATAATATAATTTTGCATTTTATTGTGCCTCTGCAACAATATTTTCATTGTTTTTAACATCTATGCCTCCACAGCTTCATTAACTTATAAAATTGTAGCTGTGTCTGTTTTATGTGAATAACCATATAGTTTGCACTTGTTTTTAGGTGTCATATTTTAGGAGTAGCACAAATTGGATGGTGTACAGAAAAGAATAACTATGGTAGTAGTGGGTCATTTGAAAGTATAACACATGGGAGCATATGCTTAAATAAAACAGTGCTCTAAAAAAAAGGGCCGTATTACACACGTAGCAAGCGAAGAAACTAAGGATATTTAGTCTTCTGAAGAAATTATTTGAAAGGCTGGGAGATCATAAATAGCAATAAAGATTTCAAGTATAAAATACTTTCTTTAGAAGATGTATTAGAACAAGAACCAAGCAGAGAGGTACATTTTTAACTCAGGAAGGGAAAGCTGTCAGGCGATCAGAAGTTATAAAATGGGAAGAATTGGCTTGCTCTAGAAGAGTGAGTGTCCGATGTCACTGCAGGTATTTACTGACTTAGATGACTGCTTGGCAACACTTAGAGCACAGTGCTCCTCAGTCTGTTGTGTGTGTGCAATCTGTCATCGAGCAGCATGGCTCTAGGGGCGAGTCAAGCATTGACTAGATGGCCTTTAATAGTCTACTAATTTATAACATATTCCTATAGAAAGGTGGGTAGACCTGTTAAAAGATCATCCAGGAAAATTTAGGAACAGAATTTCTGGTGTATGTCAACAGTAATTTAATATCTAGCTCTTTATTTATATATATTTTAATAATAGTCTTAGCACTAGTCAGTCTGGCTTTAGTTTAACTAGTTCACATGGTATCTTTTTTTAAAACACATGTTTGGCTTTGTTAGATGTCATCATATACTAAAACAGAATACCCATAAATATACCTAATCTTTTTTAAGATTTTAAAATTGATTTTGAGAGAGAGAGAGAGGAAGGGAGAGGGAGAGAAACATTGATGTGATGGTGAAACATCAGTTGGCTGTCTCCTGCACACCCCCTACCAGGGATTGAGCCTGAAACCTAGGCATGTTCCCTGACCGGAATCGAACTGGCAGCCTTTCAGTGCGCAGGATCACGCCCAACCAGCTGAGCCACATCAGTCAGGGTACATTACTCTTTTTTGAAAACACTTTTTCTCAGTGTCTGTTTTGTTAACGACTGTACCATTATATTTTCCCCTCTGGCATCTGTGGCATTCCTGGTTCGGATCCTCCTGTTAACTCTCTTTGAAGCACTTCCCTTTCTCTGTGGTCAATTGTTTTCAAGTAATAGTTAAATAAGTGTTAGCTGTTACTACTATTGACATTTTTGAGGGCATACTCTATGCCAGGCACTCACTCTTCTTTAACTTACTAATTTATCCTCAAAACCATCCTGTGATTTGGCTGTTAACTTCGCCATTTAACAGATGAGATGAGACACAGAAGTACTGTGTGCCCTTAATTTACAAAAGGTCACACTGCTGCTAAGGGGCGCAGCTGTGAGTGCAGATGCACAATCTAGTTTCCAGTGCCGCATTCTCGCCTGCAACGCTCCGCTGCCTCCCAGCCACACAAGGAGGCCTGACCTGCGTTTATAAAACATGTAGAAAGCCTATTCCAGAGACATGTTTACTTGGTAATTTTGAATTAAAATGAAAATTCTGTATTGAAAAATTAGAAAATTTATGAATAAAGTGCTGACCTTTTATGAAGATAATTTGGGTAGATCCTTACTTTGTTCTGATGCCAGACACAAAATACTAGTCTCTGCTGAGGACCATTTTTCCATTTTTTTTTTTTTTGTACAGATAGAGTGGGAGAGAGAGGAAGAGAGAGAGAGAGAGAAACATCGATGTGAAAGGGACACATCGAGTGGCTGCCACCCGCACGGCCAACCAGGGCCGGGGACAAACTGCAACCGAGGTACATGCCCTTAGCGGGAACCGAACCCGGGTCTCTCCGGACCGCAGGCCGATGCTCTAACCGCTGAGCCAAACCGGCCAGGGCAGGACCATTTATCTTTAATTATTTTCTTTTAAAGATCTTATTTCTTTTTAATTTATTGGGGTGACATTGGTTAATAGGCTCATAGGTTTCAGATGTAGATTTCTAAGATACAAGATCTGTATATTGCACTGTGTGCCCACCACCAAAATCAAATCTTCCATCATCATATATTATGCCTCCTTCACCCCCCCCCCAAAAAAAGATCTTTTTTAGAAATGCAGTATTTAAGCCACATAGAAAAGTACAAAGGAAAAATGCAAAAAAATCTCATTATCCAGTTTTAAGAAGTAAGGCATTGCCAACACAGATTAAAGTAGGAGTGGAGGAGCTATTATATCATCATTATCTTATCTTTGTTCTTTTCCATTTCTAAATATCAGAAAATTAACAGTAATTATTTGGGAAAGCTAAGGTTATATACAATCTGAAATGTCAAAAAAAAAATCCGTAAATGAAGTAGAAGAAAATATGTATCTGGTATTGGATTGGAGAAGAACTTCCTAAGAATGAAAACAAAGGAAAAAAAGAAAGTCAGAGATTGACTAACCAAAAATAAAGCCTTCTAAATTTTAAAAACACCATATATTTGTAATGTGGTGTCTTTGTATAGAGAGTTCGCAAATCATTAAAAAAAGAGATTGCCTCTTTCCAATATAAAAAGAAGCAATGTACAGGCATGACTGTAAATATGAAAAAATTGATCAACCTGATTATTAAGCAAAGACATTAAAATTAAATTAAAACTATAATGTCAACATCATTTTCACCTGCACAACTAGTACGGTTTAAGAAATGTAGTATTGGCAGGATGTAAAGAAATGGGCACTAAGGCTCTGCTGGTAGGACTCACAATGAATTGCACCCTCTGAAGCAGGCTTCGGCAGTGCGTCTCACACACCTGCAGTGACTGATTAATTAAATGGAGGAGATAGACAATAGAACAGATATTTACAGTACTGTTTAAAATGTTGTTTTATAATAGATTCATGAATGAGTGTTTTGGAAGACCAAAGGAAAGTAAGGAGAATTCTGCCTAAAGGCATCGAGAAAGGTGTCCAAAAAATGGAGTGTTGGTAATTGGGAAAAGACAATTCCAGGCAAAATGTGATGGGCAGAGGGACTAGATTGTCAGAGTTACTTAGGGTTTGTAGTGTTTTACTGGGTGAGGGTGGAAAGAGGGTAGTAACTGGAGAGGTAGAGGATGGTGCTGGAGAAAAGGCACTGAGCCAGATTGAAAGGACCCTGTATGTTATGCTGTAGGAGTTCCTGTTTTGTTCTTCAGATTGAAGGCTTTCAACAAGAGATTGGTATGTTTAGACTTGATGAAGGTCCTGCTCTAAAGAACTGACAGTGGAAGAAACCAAGTTAAAGAAGGATTTCTAAGTTGAAATGACAATCAGATGCCTGGAAGGGGGTGAGGGAGAGGTTTTAAGGGAAGTCTTGTCATGCACTGCTTTAAGGACCTAGTGATTAGACTTTTAAAATTTGAAAGGTATACACTTCAAAAGTTTTGGAAGCATTTGAAATGCAGATGTTTTATGAAGTAGGCTAAAAGTGGGGCTTGGACAACCCAAGAAGGCCTACTGATCTCAATCTTCCCGAGCAGGAGAGTCAAAACCATAGCTAAAAGTTACTTTATATGTAAGTCTAGAAAAATTAGTATATACTAGGTTGTGATATATGTTAAATGAATAAATAATTATATCTGAGTTTGTATATATTTTTTCAGATATTGGTCTGCATTTAGCACATTTCGAAATAGAGTAATTTGATTTGGTTTGTTTCCTTTTAAATTATGGTAATCATTCCTCGACATACTCTGTCAAAGGCAACCAGCTGCATCAGAATTTATCTCGGGGTTTTTATTGAAAATGCAAATATTTGCCCTCCTTTTCCTTCAGTCCAGTTATATAAGAATCTCTTGGGATGTGTCCTGGGAATATACATTATAAATTGCATTGGGAAAATCATATATACTAACATTTAAGAACCAATGACAGTGATCACAGATGAGACTTTAGGGACCAGATGAGTTCTTTGGCATATGTTAATTTATGAACATCAGTTATAGACCATAAAAAGTTATTCCTATTTTTAAAATAAAGATAATTGCAATATTAGATTACTGGATTGGAAAGGAAATACCACATATACTTCTGTAAGTCCATTTTATTTAGACAAGATAAGTTGCTAACGATGCTTATATACCTTTGGATTTTCTCTCATCCAGTTTTTTTTCATGGAGCATGTAACTGTTGGTGACCCATTGAGCAAGGCATGGGGAAAACTATGTTCTTAGTACTATTTCCTTTATACTAGGGCTTATGGTACTGTTCTAGAAAAATGTGAGCTGACAGTCTGGGCACTTTTGTGAAGGGACTGTTGAGCTTTCATAGTTATCAAATCAGATGGGGCATCAGGATGGTTATATCTTCATCTGGGACTATTGGAGAGAAGATTGTGTCTTATCCCCAAATATTATCTTTGTCTTCAGTTCTCTGGTATTCTGGAAAGCTTACCTGGCCAACATGATTATATGTACTTATATATAAAAAGAAAAGTCTGTTTCCACCTTAATGTAATCATGTTATTATTGATGGGGGGAAAGTAACATGCTTACAGCACAAAGTGTGATTTCCAGATCATAGCTTATTAAACTGCCATTCCTAAAGAGTGTTCTTAGAGTATAAATTTGCAAACCTCCTATTGCAGATTGCTTGATTTGGCATTTAAAGACTGGGATTGGTCATTTGATGATGTTGATGATGGTGATGATGATGACGATGTTTTTGATTTCTGAAGAAATAAATGGGGTAAATCAAAAAGTGAAAATGAGTTATTTTAGTACTTCAAGTAGTGCATGTGGTTTGCACTTGGGTTTTCATTATTTTTTACTAGTTTTGAAATTATATCAAGTTGTTTTAATAGTATGTATTTTAAAAGTAGTTTTCAGAAAAGTTTCTAACTGAAATTTTTATATTAAGTAGAAAAGTGAAATGCTATGTTCAGATTCTGTTTATTGGCTATATATTTTTCAATACAGTTGGAATTACAATTTTTTAACATAGTAACGAAATGTAGAAATAACAAAAGGAGCTAAATATGGTACTTTCTGTTTATTCCAAAGAAGCTGTATTCAGAGAAGTAAAATTTACAGTGTTTTCAAGTTCCTACAACTGTATTCGTTTGTGAACATAGCATGAGATTCCTTTCTCCCTCTATCCTTCTTTTCCTTTCCTCCCTGTCTCCCTCCTCTTTCCTTCTTTCTAACTTGCAAGAATTGAAATTAGTAAAACTTTGTAAGTCTAATAAGTGCTGTGAAATAGTTGTTTCTGATCTGGTTTTCTTTGTGATGCTGTGAAATGTTTGTTTTTTGGAAATTTAATGCTTTTCTTACTGAAGAATGCCAGTGATGTGCTGTGAAAGTTCTTGTGCTTTAGAAAATGTAAAATCGTTTGGTTTGGTGGCTGAAGAATATTTGAATGAAAATTGAACCTCATGAGTTAAACAGTTTGCATGGAATGTATTTAAACCTAAGTAAGCACATTGCAAAACATACTTAAATCATGTAATATTTGGGATCTCTTTATAACCAGGATATACATATATTTACTGCAACAATGTGTATGTTCCCATTTCATAGATTTTGAGGATCAAATAGTCAAGTAGGACCTGTTCCATAAGTCCACTGTTCTTTCAGCTACATAATGCAGCTAGCAGTTAAACTCAAAGTCAAACTTATGTTCACATGTGTTACTCAGTTACAGTTACCCTGATAGCCCATTAACCATAGTAAAGCTGTGTCATGTTTGTAGCCAATGTGGGAAAATATGAGAAAGACTCTAATTGCATGTACCTAAACAATAAGAAAAGGAACAAAGTAAATATGTTTTATGCATGATTTAGGTGTTAAAAGTATTGTAGTTGGAAGACTGTATAGTTGAGTGGTATACGTGGAATGCCTTTTCAAAGAATTTAATGATCTCTTAAATTATTTCACTGTTTCAACTAACTCTATTTTTCCTTTCTTTCTAGCTAACTGCCTTCTATGAATGCAGTCATTATTCATGGTGGTCCTATTCTTCCAGTTAAAACAAGACTCAAATATGATGGCCCAAAATTTATTAAAAAGTTGTATTTTCCTGAGAGACTGATACACATACATATGCATATTCTCTTTATTTCTGCAATATAAATTATAAACCTTGGAGAGATGTTTCTAGGCTCCTTTGGAGCAACAGGTTGAACCAACAGTGATTGGTTAATAGAGTAAGAAATCATATGCAACTCTTCCAAACTTGTTCCCTAAAGCTCTCTTGCCAGTCACTCACACTACATTGCACAAAAGGATTGAGAAGAGTAAAAGAAATCTTTTCAGCTTCAGCAGAGAGATTTCACCAGCATATTCACCAGAAGAATCTGGGAACGGATTTCACTACAGTGATATAGACTGCATCTTTAAGAAGTGACCATTATACTGTGTGTGTTTGTGTGTGTGTGTGTGTGTGTGTGTGTGTACACACACATATATATATAGTACTGTAATACTGCAAGAGGGTCTTTTAAACTTCCCACTTTATTTTTTTATACTCATTAATCAGATATCATTACTACAGTTGCAACTATGCACTTGTATAAAGCCATACTGTTGGGGTTTAGTTCATTTATCCCTGTGCACCTGATGGAGCTGCATGTTCATGTTACTGTAACAAAGTTTGAACTGAATTATGTGTCTCCTAATGCTTCATGATAGGCAACATGACCTATTTTGAATGCCTTAATTTAATTTTTTTTCAAAGTCTAAGCCCTTTTCTCTGTTAAAAAAAAAAAAAAAAAAGACAACACAAGTGTTTACCAGCTCTTAGGATGAAAATTTGCTTTGCAGAAGAAGATAGTGCACTATTTTTACACTTAATAGTTATCATTGTCAGCCTATTTTGATTGTATAACAGAATTTTTTTTTTAATATTGGTGATAGAAACAATGGATAGTCTTAGAACTAATATATCTTTTATGTATATCTATTATTCATCCAAGCCTTTTTACAGACCTCAGTATTAGTGTGTGACTATGAAATGTTTTCTTTGCTTGGAATTTGCTGACTACCCTAGATATGTTTTTATTTCTGGTAAGGACATTTGTGACTATTTTTACATTTCACACTCAACATTCAAAAATTATCTCAGATATACAGAAAACTAAAATATACTCTAGATGTATTTTAAGTACTTAAATGTGATCCCTTAAGCACACAGTTGTATACGGCAATATTTCAGTATTGGGTTGTGAAAACGTAACTGGGAGGAAGTGGCCTCAAAGGCACTTAACTTGCTTTTTATTCTTTAAGTGCTGTTAAAGTTACAGTATATGCAGGACCATTCCTGATGTATTTCTCATTATCCCCAAAAAAGGTGTATGTTTTATACTGTGCAAGAGTATGCATCAGTGATAAGCATCAAGTAAAAAATTGTGTAGTCTTTTATCAGTCTCTATATACATACAGCACACACGGTTTGGTGTAATATTGAAATACATCATCTGATATTTCAATGAAGGAACTAAGACATTTATCATTGATTCCCTGGGGTCAGTGTGGAGATGTTTAAAGTTAGATCCCCAGTTATAGATGCTGTTGTGGAAACTGAAGAGTAGCCTTTGGCTACTGTTGTCCTGAAACTGAATCTTGTTGCTCTTCGGGTGTCCAGTCCGCACTCGTGCTGTCTGTGCTGTGGACAGGAATGCTGTAGGCGCCCTCACAGGCGTGTTCTGCAGTTCTGGTTTGGGGGCAGAGATTTTTTTTTTTTAAGTAAGATTTAAAAATAAAAAATATATAAAATTTATATAGAATAAATATTTCCATTCATTAGACTTGTTAAAAGGAGACTGAATTAATATTTTATATAAAGATTTTGTTACACTATGGGAGGTTCTATCATTATTCTGAATTGGAGAGTATATATATATATATATATTTTTAATAAACTTTATTAAGGTGAAATAATTTGAAGTTTACACATGAGTAATGGAAATATTTGAGTAACAATGGCAAAAGTTTAAATTTTGAATGCTGTATATATTAGAGAATATGGAGAATCATGGTGTGATGCAGCGATACAGGAAGACCAATGTGACTTTTTTGCGGGGGAAAGATATTCTAATGGGTGAAAAAAATCTCTCCCATGGAGATTACTCAACATTATATGGTTTGACATAAGGATTTTTTATAAGGTTGTTTGTCCAATTAATGGAAATGTGCTTAATAAAAGATTCTGACCTTGGGTAAGAACTGGCTTTTTACCCTGTTGCTGGTTTCATGTGCATACATGAATGATGCATGCACCTATCCACATGTTCTCTTCCCAACAACACTCATTAAATGTGATACTGACTTGGTTTAACAACCAGATTTTGTGCCAGCTTCTCTTTTTCTTGGGGCTCCAAAGCTTCCGAGATAAATATAAGACCAAAAGTTGCTTCTTTCCTCACACCTGATTTCTCCTAGAGCCATAAATACCTCCTATTGAGAACTAAGAAGTAGTGAATACTGGGATTTTCTTAGTTGGATTTTTGTACTTTCTTGGGGATAGTGAGGCAAGTAGAAGTAAAACTGGTATTGTTGAAAATTAGTGTATAGTAAATTTTTGAAAAGTATTAATTTAAAAAATGCTATCTAGAAGCAAAATTTTTAAAAAATCTGTCAACATTTAAAAATGATACAGCTAAAGGAAAAGTATACCAATAAACCTAAAATATAGGTTAGTGTTTTTAAAACTAACCTGTGCTAGCTACAGGAATCTGGCTCTGAAGGATCTCCTTTGTGGGTTATCTGGCCTTAAGGAGAAGTGCTCTAGGCTGCCAAACCACAACGTAAGACATTCTGCTGCTGCTGCTAATCTGTTCTAGGATTCTGGTGGTAAAACAGAGAAACTTAGACACGAGATTACCTTGTTGAAACATGCTTTAAGAAATGTGTTTTTAAAAATCCGAGGAGAGCAGGTCACATCTGAGTTTCTCAGTCTGTGCTGACACTGCTGCCGTCACCGGTCATCCCTGGAGGAGGCTTCAGCTTCCCTGGGCTGGGAAGACCCGCGGCTGATTTGTAAGGCACTTTGAAGACAGGCGCTGTGTGACAGTGCTGAAGATTGCGCTGGGGGTCTGCTCCTCAGTTCCCTTCCCATAATAATGAGTTTTGTTTGAAAATTGTATAAGTTATGAACTGCATGGTTTAGATAATTATAAATATTTGATCAGCTGTCCCCTTTGAACAGAAATCGTATCCCCGATTTTTAAAAATTTGTTGCATCTTTGTAGTAATGTAATTGTATTTTATGCCTGCTTTTTATATTAAAAAATAAATAATTAAGACAAGCATTTTCATACTTTTCCTGTGAAATACTCCTGGACTACTGCAACCTGAAATTTACCCTCCAAAATTTGCCTTCCTTAAAAGATGGGTATAGCCCTGGCCGGTTTGGCTCAGTGGTTAGAGCGTCGGCCTGCGGTCCAGAGACCCGGGTTTGGTTCCTGCTAGGGGCATGTACCTCAGTTGCTGCAGTTTGTCCCCGGCTCTGTTTGGGTCAAGTGGGTGGCAACCACTTGATGTGTCCCTTTCACGTCAATGTTTCTCCCTCTCCCACTCTATCTGAACAAAAAATAGAAAAATGTCCTCAAGTGAGGATTAAAAAAAAAAAAAGATGGATATAGCCAACAAGTCATATCTAAACTTACAGACTTGTGTGTCCTCAGCCATCATTTAGTGCATAGAGAAATACAAAATACAGAACTGCAACCAGGAGGCAGTGTCTGATTCGATTTGGGTATTTTAAGGGGCAAGCAAACCTGCAATACCATTGTGTTGAGAATAAAGGAAAGAGGCAGGGTTCCCATATTGTCAGAAACTTGTCAGCTGGTTGTCTAGGAAGCATTTCTTTGGTCGTCAGTGGGTTCTTTTCTAGGATCCTTTTTGGGTATCCGACCTGGGACAGGTACTCACTGAGCCCGAATGCCTTCATCTGTGAAATGGATATTGTTTACTGATGGGTGGTTGTGGGATTAAATAGGAAACTCGTGTGGGGTATCTGGAAGGATTCAGATGTCCCCTTCCCTCCCAGAGGGAAAAGAGGGAGAAGTCTTGATCTAAGAGAATATGTTCTTAAAGGAGTTGCTTTAAACCGTGATCAAGTACTAGCCAAAAAAAAGTGTATTTAAATATGTTGGACTGAAATTACATAATTTGTATTTATACTAATCAGATTATAACTGCAAATGAAAAAAGGTTTACTTGGATTTTTTTTTAAGTGACAACTATGATTTTAAAAACTACAGAATGAATTATTTTTAGATACCATGTTTCTGTTCCTGCTGTTCCCAACCTGTAGTTCTAAAAGGACTAACCACAGTTTTTATACACACACACACACACACACACACACATATACACACTTTTTTTTTTTTATCCTCATCCGAGGATATCCTTTGATATTTTGTTCAGATAGAGTGGGAGGGAGAGAGAAACATTGACGTGAAAGGGACATCGAGTGGTCGCCACCCACACGACCCAACCAGGGCCGGGGACAAACTGCAACCGAGGTACGTGCCCTTAGCGGGAACCGAACCCGGGTCTCTCCAGACCGCAGGCCGATGCTCTAACTGCTGGGCCAAACCGGCCAAGGCCACAGTTTATATTTTTAAAATGGCACTTTACATAACTGAAAACTAATCACATTAAAACAGTTTTAAGACTCAGCAGCTGAGTTTAAAACATCAAAGTTTATTTTGCACAGGAAACCCAAACATCTTCTAATAAAACATCATTTACTTACTGCATAGGTATACACCAGAATAATACCACTTGATTATAAGGGGAAATGAGTTTTTAAATGTTATGGTTTATGAACTTTTATAGACAAATATCAAGTACAATAATTGTGTCATGTTTAGCATATGAGAATAAAATCCATAAGAACTTGGTAGAACCCAGCAATACCCTTTACTACATATATTTTCAATACCAAAATCTGGTGGAGGTAAGCTGTATTTTGTACCAAATTCTAATAACAGTTAATTTTATGGATGCAGCCCTTTTTAAAAATGGCAGCACTTGCTTGATCAGAATGAATTGCTTCATCATAGAAATTGCATCTAATATCTCTTGAAAAATTTTTTTGATTGATTTTAGAGAGGGAGAAGGAGAGAGAAACACTGATGAGAGAGAACATCGACTGGCCACCTCCTGCATGCCCCTCACTTGGGATTGTGCCCTGATCAGGAATCGAACCGGCAGCCTCCTGGTGCATGGGTCAACACTCAACCAGTGAGCCACACCAGCCAGACTCTAATGATATATTTTGTTAGGAATTGCTTAAAGGCACAGTATAGAGTTAAAGGACTACTTTGGTATATGAACTCAAGCCGGTTACATTTTTGCTTGCCCTGATAGACTTGCTATAACTAAAGAGGTATTACACTGTATTATGATACAATAAGGCCATCCTGTTATATCTGTTACAATTATACATTAGTCTCAGAGAGTGAACCCTAGTAATTTATTACAATTCTACTTCTAAGCAAAATCTCACTCCTTGCTCATGATTCTGAAAGCTGAAAAATACAGTCAGCACTTTGGAGAGAATTTAATCATGATTTTTAAGAGTCAGAGTGATCTCAATGGGTTCTCGGATGATTTCCATCAATCACCAACCTCAACACTGCAGGTATCTGAGTCCTAACTTAACCTAATAAATTGGGAGGGGGGGTCATTTTTAAACAGCTTTTTCAAGTCTAAAGTCTAAAATACCTTTGGCTTCAAAGTTTTGGAAATGACTGACTAAATTGGTAAAAGACCTTGATTTAGCATTGAGCTCTTCTGTCCTTTGGTTCAGCTCCTCGAAATCCACGGGGTGTGTAAGAATCACGCACCCTCATTCAGCCTTGACAGCCGTCTTCCGGTAGCGAAGCACCGTTGCTGTCACCCACAGATTTAAAGCCAGCATGATCACAAAACGTGTAAGGACTGAAATCAGGCAAAAGGAGAAAAATATACATTAAATACTGTTTTCACGTTACAGAAAATCATTCTGCTCTAGAAGCCAAATAAAGCTTCACCCGCCCCACCCCCACCCCCACCCCCAGTGAAACTCAGACCATGAGACCTTTTGAACAACTATGGTTCCAAATATTTCTGGAAAAACTATCTTCCTATCATGACTACCCCTAGCCACTTGGCCTGACTTCTTAAGTTATCATCATCACTGTTTAAACTGGGGGAATCTGGCTCTGGATGGTAAGGAATATTGTAACATTTTACACCCCCTTCACCCATTTTTAAGGCGTAGAGGTAGTGAGTGGTCTCTCAGAACACTCCATGTGAAGGAAAGGGCAGAGGGCTCTGTTCATTCTGAAAAACGGGCACGAAAGTCAGAGCTTAGTGTATACTGAGATAACCATGAAAAGGTGGCTCTTTAAAAGAAGTGACAGTGACTTGAACATTCTGATAAATAAGGCTGATGAGATTGAATGTGTCTGTGGTTGTGAACCACTTATAAGATATTAAACAGTTTTTAAAAGGTTCTCCCCAGAGACACTGATCACTTTCAGGAACAGGTTTCACCCTAGATACAAAACAAATCACAATTAGAACATCCCCCGTCTTTTAAACATAACTTTTCATTTATAGGTTGGTTTTGTTTCATTAGGGTTTGGCTCTCCTTTCCACACGGAGAAGCCGGTCCTGCGGAGAAGACTCCGTCCTTTCCTCTCCTCACTTGACCCAGTAGATGCTTTGGCCACGACACTCTGAATCCCTCAGAGCGTAGCACGTATTCGAGCCAAAGCCACAACCTCCGGGAGGGCTCAGCGTGCAGGCCACCCTTCTGTAGCACTCGTTCTCAGTAATAACTAGGCTCCTTAAGGGTCTCTGTGCCAGGGACATCTTCATAGAGTAGGTGACCCCATCTGTTTTAATCATTTCCCCAAGTCATTTTATACGCACAATTTGGGAGTTTAAAACTCAGCCTACAGAATTACTAAAGTCTTTAGGGCAACCCAAGTATTTCCCATCACAGGCTCCCTAGAAATACTTTTTTAAAAAGTCAAGAACACGGAGTCCAGTGACTTGGTCACTCCCCTGCTGTGAAGGGCCCTCCCTGCTGTGTGCTCTTCTCTGAGGCTCTGCACCAGGTGGCCAGGGCCTCTCCGTCCCTCCCACCTCACACTCACTACCCCCGCCCTCTGCTCCTGACCTTCACAATGCTGCTCCTGTAACCGTCCCCTCCCACCTTCTCCAGATCGCACTCTTCTTCAAACTGATCTCCCCAGCTTCCTCCGTCTAGGTCAGGTTCACATTAGGCGCTCACCCTGCCCTGCTCCTTCCCAACACATCTCACAGTATTTATCAGCAGCGTCCATTTCCACTGACGGGGGGAGCTGCACAGACAGGAACTGCCTGTCCGGCTCAGTGCAGATGGTGGCCCATGGGACCCGGAGGACATGCCTGGCCTCCACGTGCACTGCCCAGGGCAGCCAGTGCATCTGTCACACCCCGCGACGCTCAGAGGAAGGAGGCAGGGTGGCACAGCATGTGGAGAGGAAGTGGGGAGAGAAAGAGCTTACTTGTAAGATCATTGGTGGTCATCAAGGTGGTTATTATTCTTGCTGTAAAAGAAAACTTTCAGCAATAAATATCAACTTGCTTCTCAGACATTTTGCATTTAGCTAATGGTTTTCCATTTTAAATACAGGAATATGCTAACTGCTTAAGTAGGAGCGGGGTAGTCCCAAATACTTTAGTATTATACTTAGTACTATACTTAGCACTAAACCGTGTCAAAGCCCGTCATGGTTCTGAAGCTGCTCACTGAGCTCAGCCCCTACCCCGCAGGGAGAGTACCACCCTCCCCCAGAAGGTAACAGTGCTGCCCAGGGAGTCGGGTGGGCTGGGGCCCAAGCTCCCCCTTCCTCTCTGTGTGCCAGTCCATACTCCCCACCCCAAAAAGCAACTTTTGAAAAGTCTCACATACCGAGTTTCTGATAAGGTTTCATTCAAAGGCTCCCACCAACGAAAAACAAAGTTACATCACTGAATTCTCTCCCCTAGTTTATCAAGGAAGCCACGGCCCAGGGAAGGTTGGGAGTTTCCTAAGGGCCTGAATAGAACTGTTCAGTGAAACTCATTTTTCTGGGATAGCACTTGGGGACACTTAGGAAACTGGGGCAGTTTAAAGTGACCGCTGGGAACTGGGGGTTCAGGAGTAGCACCCAGACCTACAACTCAAGGCCTGCCTTTCCTAACCCCTAACCACCCCACAGGAAGCCCTCCCTCTGCCTAACTTCCTGTTTAGCATTTATTGACAAAGTAGCTTTTTGGTCTTCTCTTCCAACTAAACTAAGCCCTGAAAGGCAGAGACCATATCTTATCAAAGGTTTTGTGGTCAGTTGTGGTAACCCAAGGATTTACACACACATCCCTTGTACACAGTTGTTGATTAAATCAGCAATTTAAATGGGAGAGACAGGTCTTACTCAGATGGAGAGAAGATTCCAGCCAGCCAGGAAAGTGGCCAAATAAGAGGGTTCTCAAGCTAACCCTTAAAAAGATTTCCTAGCCCTGGCCGGTTTGGTTCAGCGGTTGGAGCGTCGGCCTGCGGTCCGGAGAGACCCGGGTTCGGTTCCCGCTAAGGGCGCGTACCTCGGTTGCGGTTTGTCCCCGGCCCTGGTCGGTTGTGCGGGTGGCAGCCACTCGATGTGTCCCTTCACGTCGATGTTTCTCTTTCTCTCTCTGTTCCTCTCTCTCCCTCCCACTCTACCTGAACAAAAGATGGAAAAGTGTCCTCGGGTGAGGATAAAAAAAAAAAAAAAGACTTCCTAAATGGCCTGTGGTAGTTCCTGGCTGCAAGATGAACCGGGTAATGGTGACCAGTGGAAATTAAGGTAACTGCTGAAATGCACGTCACTCGTTCCTAAGCTGGTGCTGACGTTAGCCTCATCTGTCAGAAAAGAAAGCTGGGTTTAAAACTGGCTCACTTCCCCCCCCAAAAAATTCTAGTCCTCTGTTTATCATCTGTGTGACAAATATTTATTACTTGTTAAGCACAGAGTGCTGTGCAAATCAGATGGAAATGTAACACATGGTCTCTACAATTACAAGGTCCCGATTACCTAAAAAAATTTTAATAAGCGACATTTCAAGAGTAAAATACCTGGAGCCCTGGCCGGTTTTGCTCAGTGGTTAGAGTATCGGCCCATGGACTAGAGAGTACCGGGTTCAGTTCCCGCTAAGGGCATGTACCTCTGTTGCAGTTTGTCCATGGCCCCAGTTGGGGTCATGTGGGTGGCAGCCAGTCGATGTGTCTCTCACATCGATGTTTCTCTCTCTCCCTCCCTCCCTCTCTCCCTCCTGCTCTATCTGAAGGTAAATGCAAAAATGTCCTTGGGTGAGGAAATAAATAAATACATACATACATACATACATACCTGAAGATAAAATTAGGGAGCTAGTAATATATCTAGCGATTCCAGAAGCTATACACACACACACGCAGCACAATAGCCCTTCAACATTTTTAAGCTAAAGATAAAACTCAAGAATTCTTCATTTTAAATAACTTTGAACATAAAGACCCCTACTGGCAACCCTAGATAAAGAAACCATATCTGGCCTGGCCAGTGTGGCTCAGTGGTTGAGCATCAACCCACATACCAACAGATCGCAGGTTTGATTCCCAGTCAGGGCACATGCCCAGGTTGTGGGCTGGATCCCCAGTGGGGGGCATGCAGGAGGTGGCCAATTGATGTTCTCTCTCATCGATGTTTCTATCTCTCTCTCCTCCTCCCTTCTTCTCTCTCTAAAATCAATGAAGAAAAAAATTTTAAAAACAGAAACCATACCTGTTATCTATGTTACAGATAAAACAGGAGAAAGTTAGGGGTCCCTTTGTTATCATGAAGGAGTACAATTTAAATATCCAAAATTACTAAATCTAATTAATGGGACAGCTTGAAATTTGAAAGTGTTTCTACCTAAACAGAGCATACTCGTATTTTAGGTAGTTCCTGCAAGAGGAAAATCTCAAGTCGAGACCTAGTTTTGGCTCCAGAAAAATTCCATGGCTGCCCATCATGTTGATTCTGAAAAGTCAATGTTTGATTTTTGTTTCTTTAATCTTACATCACAAAGATTCAAAGTTTTAAAAGAAGTCAGTGGAGCCCTGGCCGGTTTGGCTCAGCGGTTAGAGCCTCGGCCTGCGGTCCTGAGAGACCCGGGTTCGGTTCCCGCTAAGGGCATGCACCTCGGTTGCAGTTTGTCCCCGGCCCTGGTCGGTTCCTTTCACGTCGATGTTTCTCTCTCTCTCTCTGTTCCTCTCTCTCCCTCCCACTCTACCTGAACAAAAAAATGGGAAAATGTCCTTGGGTGAGGATAAAAAAAAAAAAAATCCTCAAGTGAGGATTTAAAACAAGTCAGTGGATTCCATTACCCTCTCTCGCTGCTTCGCAAAGCGCAGAGTGGACAGCGTTTGCGCAGCTGGGGTGCACGGTAGCGTTTGCTCAGCTGGGGTGCACGGTAGCGTTTGCTCAGCTGGGGTGCACGGTGTGCTCAGTGTTCAGCGGCTGGAGTCGGGCTCCTGCACTGAATCAGCCGGGCCCCACGGGCACACAGGAGGGTCTATCTGAACCGCGTTTGCACAGGACTAGACCTCGAGGGACCAGGGCACTGCACCCCCGCACGCCTCCGCCCGGAGGGCTCCCCACCGCGGCGGAGTGTTCTCACCGGCACAGGTGTAGGCCGCCAGGCCCCAGGTCAGAGCGCTCACCGCCCCCGAGTCCCGGGTCTTCCACAGGCACTGCAGCTGGGCCAGCTTGCTGGCCGCACTGATGAGGGTGCACAGATTCTGTTCGCGGAAGGACAGGACAGAGTGCCCTTCGTTAAAAGCGCTCCCGGGACTGGAAGCGCCTTTGAAGCCCAAGTTCCAGGTCCACTAATGACCAGTCTGCACGAGGGCAACGGGTGTCCAAGGCCCAGCACCCCGCACCCTCGGCCTGAAGCCAGTGTGAAGGAGTCGAGCCCCCTCTGCCACCTGCCGATAAGAAAGAGGGGCCGCCAGACACCGCTGTCTCGGAGCCTGGGCAGGCCGTGCTGCTCGGAACCGACGGAACCGACGTGGCGGCAGCTCGGTTTCCAGGCTTCTGTGATGAGCCCACATGGTGACCGGTGACACATCAGCCCTACGCCCCTTCGAAGACACGTCAACGGCTAGCCCGCCACCTGGCCGCACCCCATCCCGAGCCCCTGTAAATGCCCCCTTCGGGTCAGGTTGAGCAGAGGCCGAAGGGAACCCGGGGGACGCTGGGACGGAGCCCGAGGGCAGCCCCTGCCGACCCAGGTTTGCGCGGGGACGCAGGAACCGGGAGAAGCACGCAGATGCGGGCTGTACCAGGACCGGCTGCGCGGCCTGAGAAAGAGAAGCCGAGGGTGGCTCCCAGAGCAGGGGTCCGGCCTCGGCAGGGAAGAACCTCCCCTGCAGCCCAGGGACCCGAGGCCGCAGGGCGGGAGGGCTGGGGGATTCAGAGACCCCCTGGCTGGCTGTCCCTGTGCAGAATGCGCCGGAGCCCGGGGGCCTGTCACTCCAGAGGTCAGGGACACCAGGCAGCGAGGCTCCGGGAAGCCCAGGGGACAGAGAGGAGGAACCTCATCTGTGGGTCCTGCTGGAGACTCTGACACGAGGAATGACCGCTCCCGGCTTCGCGGGAATGAGAGGCTGGCGTCCCTGACCGCAGCAGCTCCTCTGCCTTTGGGGCCCCCAGAAGGCAGCCCACGAGGGGGGCGCCCGGTCTGCGCTCCGGAACAGTCCTGGCACGTGGCCGTCACTCGGGAAGTCCTTGTTGAAGAACTAAGTCCTGCCTAACAAGCCCATCTGGCAGATGTAATGACACGGTGACCACAGTGCCCATGGGAGGGGGAAGGGCTCACTCCGACGAGGGGGACTATGGAGAAGGCAGACGAGCAAGGCCCGTGGTCCGCTCCAAAGACAGGTCACACTGGGAGCTGGGCGCAGGTGGCTCGGAGGTCTGACCCCAAGGCGGGGACTGTGAGGAAGGAGGCTGCTGTGCAGGCTGGTGACCCGAACAGACGAAGAGGGAGGCAGGGACGGGGAGCAGGTCAGCCCGGGCGGTGGAGGGCGGAAGGCGGGAGGAAGGAAGGGTGTCACTGCGATCTGAGCAGGCTGGGGGGCCGGTAGGTCGGCGGCTAACCGGACAGTGTAGCAGTGCCTGCCGAATCCGCCACCAGATCCATCTTCCAGGAGAAAAGGCCACCGTTAGAATCATGAAGGCCTTTCCTTTGGGGACGTGACCAAGCGCTGGACAAGCTCATTACACAGATTCCGCTGCAGGTGACCAGGTTTTTCTGTGACCGAGTCTAACTCAGAACAGGACTGGGGGGGGGGGGGGGGCTCAGCCTGCTGGGAGATCAGGTGACGTACTTTTGTCGCATCTTTTGTGAGCACACTGAGCCTGTGACTCACCAACTGAACCAGGAAGCACTGTAGGGCCTTCTGGAGAAAGATCTCTGGGTCTGAACCGGGGCTTGCTGTTGAGTCACAGGACTGGAACCCCTCCAGAACCGGGGTTTCCACAAATGCACACAGCACCCTGCCCCACAGGCTCCTGGGGTTTTCTGAAGCCCAGGCTCCTTCTCCTTCTCTCTGTGGCCCCAGGAACAAGTGAGCATCGTCCCCAAGGCCCCCGTTCCTGCCACAGAGGCACCGGGAAACCCTGGGGACAGCAGCAGAGCCGCATGCATTCCACGCTGGGCAAGGGAGAGCGGAAACGCGCTTGTGAACTGCTGGGCACACACGTGTGGTCAGTACACACCCCACTGAGAAGAGCTCAGGGAAAAACAAAGACCTTCGGCCTCTGACCCCTGGAGGCTTCCTGCCGGGTCTGTATCCCCCCGAAGGGCAGAACCACACCAACTCGACCAGCAGCAGCAGCTACGGAGTGACTAGACGGGACTTTTTTGGAAGGTGGCAAATTTAGCCAAGAAAAACACAGGGCACTCAGTTCAATTCGAATTTCAGATCAACAACAAATGATTTTGTAACAAAAGTATGTCCTGTGCAATATTTGGGACATAACTATACTAAGAAAGTATTCACTGCTCACGAGAGCCCTGCTCATTGGCTCTCTCACTAGGGTGAAGTTAAGTCCACTTTCCAAGAAAGGGTCACAGACAGGGTGTTGGGGAGAAGGGTGGGACTCATGAGTTGGGTGTGACAGCCAGTGACTCGTGACAAATCAGGTCTCTGCCTTCTTTTCCCAATGGGTGGGAATGTTCGCTCTAACACCTTGCAGAGATCTCCGATCTTCCTGACCCACTATCAGAATCCTATTCCATAGGATTTTAGGGCCAGCACCAAGAGGTCACCGGTTTGATTCCTGGTCAGGGCACAAGCCCAGATTGTGGGCCAGATCCCCAGTGGGGGGCATGCAGGACGTGGCCAATTGATGTTCTCTCTCCTTGATGTTTCTATCTCTCTCCCTCTCCCTTCCTCTCTAAAACTCAAAAAAAAAAAAAAAAAAAGAGCCCAGCTGGTGTGGCTCAGTGGTTCAGCGTCGACCCTGCACCAAGAGGTCACCGGTTCGATTCCCAGTCAGGGCACATGCCCAGGTTGTGGGCCCGATCCCCAGTGGGGGGCATGCAGGAGGCAGCCAATCGATGTTCTCTCGCATCAATGTTTCTATCTTTCTCTCTCCCTTCCTTTTGCTCTAAAATTAATAAAGACAAACAAATTTTTTAAATGAAAAATAAAAAAGGATAGGGCTTACCCTTTTCCAAGGAGAACAAAAATATTTTTCTGTTAATTTAGAAAACAAATGAATATGTGGCCAATATGTAATTATTAACCAGACAGGAAGCTCTTTAACTTATACTCAGTTTTTCATTCTACTGCTGCTAACTACCCCCATCTGGTTCTCTATGGGCTCCAAGGAGCAAGTAAAAAGCCTTTCCATACGCTGAAATGAGAATAATGTGTTTTACTAACTGTTTGGAGAGCTCTGCATTTTCTTCCCAATACCCCCTGGTACAGCTGAAGAAACCAGGAGGCTGAACATCTGATCTACCGAGTTCTCTGCAGGGCAGGGGCAGGGACAGGACAGAGTGACACTGCTATTCCACAGCCAGTACTCACCATGGCCAGGTCCATGATCCACTTCTGCAGGGTGAGGACGAACCAAGATGCCACAAATCTTACCAAGTGTTAAGGAAGTGGCTGGGGTGGCAGCTCCACCAGCCTAAGCCATGTGCCCATGGAAACAAACCCAGAGCCCAGGGGCTCCTCCTAGAAGCCAAGCGAGGAACCAGCGTGGTCTGCTAAAATGTGTCGGGGTGGAAAGGACAAAAACTGTTTCAAGTGCACACGTGCCAGGAGTCCTGAAGAACAGAAGCAGATGGAAGAAAATGCCAGAGAAGCGCCTGGTCGGTGTGGCTCAGTGGACTGGGCGTCATCCCAGGGACCGAGAGGTCCCAGTTCAGTTCCCAGTCAGGGCACATGCCCAGGCTGTGGGCTCGATCCCCAGCAGGGGGCGTGCAGGAGGCAGCCGACTGATGTTTCTCTCTCTCCCTTCCTCTCTCTAAAATAGCAATAAAAACATATTTAAAAAGAAAGAAAGAAAATGACAGAGAACCCTGTGTTCATGGACTGTTCCTAGGGTTGGGAAATTCCCAGACGATTCTAATTTCCGGCTTAATTCCCAGCCATGCAAACATCGCCCATGTAATGGTGCAAGTTCAGCTCTACAAGGGGGTCAACGTGATAAAGTAGGCATGTCTCCTGCAAAACTGGTGTCACGTGAAACTCTACTGATTTCCCCCCTTTTCACCAACTCCTGTGTGAAAATGATACAGTGGACAGCGAGGCCAGCAGACAGGAGGGTGACGCTCGACTGTCACCCAGCTCAGGGATGTTGAGGTACAGAGAGCGCAGCCAGGGAAGTTGGAGCAAACACAGGAGAGGAAGTGACCAGGCAGTGAGGGACCGCCCAGGGCTTCTGCTGTGACCGGGGGAAGTTCGCTTCAATCTGGATCTTGGTGTGCTTAGCTGCAAAATGGTCTTAACCTTCCTTGCCCCATCTCCTTGCTCAACACCTTGTGGCTCATTGCAGGGACCCAACAGGTTGCTGTAATCGTAATTAATAACATTATTTAAATGAAGGGACTGAAATAGACAGCGCTCTGTGCTAAAAGTCAGTAGACTAACTACTAGCAACCTGGTAAACACTGGAAAGGCAGCCTGAGTCCAACTGGATGAAGCCTGATTCAGTTTTTTAAAAACTAACTTTTGTGGTAACTTTTTGTACCATCGCACCTCATTCCATTCACTCCTGATAGACATTTTGAGATGACTTTTTCTGTAGGTGGCCAGATTTAGCAAATAAAAATACAGGGCACCCAGTTAAATTCAAATTTCAGACCCATAACAATTTGTTAGTGTAAGTATGTCTCGTGCAGTATCTGGGACATCTTTATGCTAAAAAAGTTATTCGTGCCGGAAGGATACAGGGCGATGTAGGGTGCCGCCCGGTACACGTTGCCACTGAAATGGAACACGCAGAGCAGGAGGATAACATCTGGGGGCAAAGGTTCCGAGTGAGAGGAGAAGGAGCCCCGGGCCACTCTGGGCACAGAGGGCTGGGGGCTCAGTTACCTTGCGCGATGAGAATGGGGTACTCCAGGTAGGTCATCAGTGGGTACTCGTAGTAACACTGGTACCGGAGAAACACCAGGAACCTGGGGAGAGGGAGGGCACACATGAACTCGGGCTGACCCAACAGGGAGGCCAGCCACACCCGAGAGCACGGGCTCCTGTGTAAAGCCTTAGAGCTGGTGGTTGCAGTCCACAGGGTCCTCAGCCCCCTCATTTCCCCCCTCCGCCCCCAACCAACACTGCAGCCAAGTTGAGCCAGTGTCCTCCATCCTTCAGGGCCCCTCTCTGCTCTCCAATCCCACCATCCTGCCTGAGGGCCCATGTGGAAGGGTCAGTCACACACCCTCCCCTGGCCAAGCCTTTCCAGACAAAGCCTCTCAAAGGTGGGCCCTGGGGGCAGGTCCCCTCAGTGAGAGGTCCTCATCCCTCCAGCCACCAGGACTGCTCTGCCTCCTTCCCTCCTTTCCAGCCTGTAATCCCCATCCAGATCCCAGGGTTCACCAACCGGCTGACCCTCCAGAAAGTGCTCCGCCCCAGGGCAGGCCCTCAGAACCTCCGGGGCCCAGCCAATGACAAGGGGCTAGGCCACTAGACCCCGCTAGACCGCTAGGTTTCAGGTGCCAGGAGTCTTGCCCACAGTGTTCGACTACTCTGCCAGTGCGGTTAGGTCTGAAACGGAGTCGGGGCACCCACTCTGGATTGCTGATGGATGAACCATCTCCAGGGGCAGCCTCTGCTAGTCTCCTCCCCACCTTCAAGCATCCAATCAAGTGCCCCTTCTCCTCTGCCTCCAAAGAGCTCCCCATTCTCCCACTCCCGCCCCCATCCCACAACGTGGGGCTTTAAAAAGCCACAAGATCCGTAGAAAAGTCCCTCCCCTCATTTTACAGGCAAGGAAACAGGTCTGGGGCAGGGAGTGCGGGTGGGGTGGGTTTGGGGCGATGGACAGTGAAACCCCTCTTAAGGAGCGCTATTCTCTGAGAAATGCATCCTTAGGCATTTCTGTCCCCTTGGGAACAGAGGGCGCTTGGAGGTGCAAGGAGACAAAAGCACTGGGGGGCCCGGGCTCTAAGTGCCTGTGCGGCACCTTCATTGGCCCTGCGGTGCTGGGGTTCGCTCCCACCAGCATCTCCACAAACCTGTGAGCAAGGCCCGCCCTGGGCAGCACCTTGGCTAAGAGGTCACTCACTAGGCGATAGAAATATTTCAGCTCCAGGCCCTGACCGGTTGGAGCATCGGACCAGGGGTCGTGGGATTCCCGGTTGGGGCACGTGCCTGGGTTGCAGGTTTGATCCCCGCCGGGTGCAGTCCCTGTGGGAGGCAACCAATCAATGTGTCTCTCTCACATCGCTATTTCTCTCTCTCTCTCTCTCTCTCTCTCTCTCTCTCTCCCTTCCACTCTCTTAAAAAAAGCAATGGAAAAGTATCCTCCAGTGAGAGGGAAAGGGAAAGGAAAAGAAAGGAAAGGAAAGGGAAGGGAAGGAAGGAAAAGGAAGAAAGGAAGGGAAGAAAAGAAAAAGATTTCAGCTCCATTTTAATCGTAGGGGGCCACCGTGGGATACGCGGTCCGCTGTTGATCGAAACGTAGTTATGCGACAGGCTGACCTCATATGAGAATCTGCTGGTACAAACGGCCTTGCTCAAGGCCAGACGGTTGGTTTGACACTAACAGGGGAGGGACCCCTCGCTGGGTGTCGGTTCCTCATCTGCAAAGTGGGCGTGCGCGGTTAATTCCCGCCACACCGGTGGCTAGGCAGAAATAAGGGGGGGCAGGGAGTGGCCGGGTCGTGCCCCTCCGCGGTCAGGGGCTCTCGGCCCGCGCCCCCGGCCCCACTTAACCACGCCCGGGCTCCCCGGGCTCCCCGGGCTCCCGCAGGGCAGAGGCGAGGGAGGAAGGCACCGCGGCCGCCAGGGCCCTTACCCCGCCAGCTCCAGCAGCAGGCTCGGGAGGCTGAGGCCCCGCGCGCTGCGCGCCGCCAGCAGGGCGGAGATCTGCGGCAGCTTGAGCGCGGCGCACACGCCCAGCGTGCTCCAGTTGCAGAGCCCCAGCAGCCCCGCGGCCATGGCTCGGCTCCGCTCGGCTCGGCTCGCAGCGCGGGGGCAGCCGCTCAGCTCTCGGATGCCGGGCTGGCCCAGCCCTTCCGCCTTCCCTGGGGCCCCCGCCCGAGCCCGCCCAGCCGGGGTCCGCCCAGCCGGGATCCGCCCAGCCGGGGTCCGCCCAGCCGGGGTCCGCCCAGCCGGGGCCGGGCCCGCCCAGCCGGGTCCGCCCAGCCGGGGCCGGGCCCGCCCAGCCGGGGTCCGCCCAGCCGGGGGCGGGTCCGCCCAGCCGGGGTCCGCCCAGCCGGGGTCCGCTCAGCCGGGGCCCGCCCAGCCGGGGCCGCGCCGCCGCCCGCATCTCCGCCCCGGGTCCAGCCTCCTTCCAGCCCGGTCCACTCCTCCCACCTTGTCTCCGCCCCGCCCGAGTGGGCTCGGTCCAGTCCGCTCGCGGCCCCGCCCCCGCCCCGCCCCGCCCCGCCCCGGCCCCGGCCCCCCCAGGTCCGCACTGACTCAGCCTGGGCCTGCGCGGGCCGTCCCTGCGGCTGATCCACTTTCTCGTGTTAAATCGACCCGCGCGGTTCTGAGCCGTAGGGAGGCCGCCCCCGCCTCCACCCCCAGCTCCACGCACTGTCCCGCTTTCCCACGGGTTGGGTGGGCAGAACCTGAACCCCAAAAAGGGAAACGGGCAGCACCCCCTGAAAGTGTTTTTTCTTTGTTTTTCTCTGAGCATCTCAGAGATGAAAGCTTGTGACGACCTTAGCTACCCACCTTGGCGGACGCGCGTCCCCTGGGTTTAGAGGGAACCGGGACTGGAGGCTGGAGGACTCGCCGTAGCCCTGGGGGCCAGAGACTCCGGTGGGCTCCTGCGGCTGAGTGGCAGCGCCCCCTACCCCCACCCCAGCCTTGCACTTCACTCCAGAGTGAACATTTTTCTAAAAGAGGTAGAATAGATTTCTATTGATAAAAGAGGGTAATGTAGACGACAGAAGATGAGGGGTGGGGTGCATTCTTCAAACTCCCAAAACCGCATGGATATTGAGTGCAGATTACGAAGCAGAAAAGACACAATGCAACGCCAGAATCGAGGTGACTGGTTCTGGGCTCTGAGCCTCCGCCTCTCTGCCCTCCCCTCCCCCTCTACCCCCACCAGCCCTCGCCAGGCCATTCCCCCTCCCTCTGGAAAAAAACGACAGGTTTTGAACCAGTCCTCCAAAGCTAAAGGAAAACAGGATGTTTAGAAGGAAACTTACAAAGATTGTGCACGTTTGTAGGTGTTTAGTCCTTATCTCTTAGACATCTTGAAGTATTTACGGGTGAAATATTATGATGTCTGGAATTTACCTTAAAATATGGGGGGTTGGAGAGGGTGGAGATGTAGAGAAAACAAGATTAGTGTGAGATAATTTTTGAAGTCTGTCATGGTGATACTATGGGGACATAATTCAGTCGTGTATAGATAGGCACACACATTTTCTGTATATCCTCACATATGTTACATGTATAATGTCTATCTTACACACACACATGCTGACCCAAAATCTTCCTTTTAACAAAACTCCCGCTTTGCATGCACAGCAGGTTGAGGAGCAGGACTGGGTTCCCTTCAGGACCCTTTCATCAATGCTGATGCTCTTGGCCAGACTTTTGTGTATAAAGGACTGCAGTGAGTCTGAAATGCCACTCCCTGACATTGATTTAAAATGCACCTAGTTGGCAAACACAGCCGAGTGCCTGAGGACGGTAGTGTCTTCTTTACATTTGGCTGCCCTGAGATCCTGTTGCATTGTCTTATAAGAACTGAGTGATCTCAAGAGCAGGTCACCCACTTCACCACGGCCCTTGGGAAAGTAAGTGTCAACACCACAATTCTTTGGGTCACAGTTGTGCATGCTCAGGAGCTTGCTCACTTGCTATGGTAAATTCAAAATGAGTCCTGGATGAGCTGCCCAGGAGACAATGGAATGTTCTGGAATGATAAGGAGTCAGATAAATCTCTGCCAAGATAAGTGCATTGGTGAGAATTTGATTACAGACCACATAGTCTTCCTCTTTAGTGAGCTTATTAATTATTACAAAAGAATTCAGAGCCAAGAACTCTAGCACAAGAGGAAATTTATTTAGCATGCAAAACTAAAGTATACTGGAAGAGAGAATTTGAGTGAGCTGCTCAGAAAGCTACCTTGGCCTCTTAGAAAGAAAGGCACAAAAAGGAGAAACATCTGTAACAAAAATTAATTAATTAAAAAAATAAATTAAAATATAAAAAAAAGAAAAAGAAAAAGAAAGAAAGGCACAGAGGCAGAAGAAGTGAGCCAGCTGGGTTGTGTGGACTCAGGAAACAAGTTACAGAGGCAAAAGAAGGTTCAGGGGTTTAGCCTAGGAAACAAGTTTGGGAGTTTAGCCTAGGACGAGGTGCTGCTGGCCACTGCTACCCTGCTTGCAAGTCTCTAAGAGAAAAAAAGCAAAGATATGTGCCTGAGGAAAGAAGAGGGAAGGCACAGGTGTGCTTCAGGGAGAGTGAGCACTGGGTCCTTTGTCTTAAGGGTTTTTATCTGTTTTCTAAAGGCAGGAATTTTAAGGGAGTTCTTAGGGGAGGATCTCAATAGACTATTCATCAGCTTTCTAGGTGTATCCTGTAATGTGCTGATTCATCAAAATGAGCATATAGGGTCAGGGTCTGGTCTGTACTGACTGGTCGGCCCTTGGGTAGGGGATCGCTGGTCATTGCATCTGGTCCTGATGCCAGCGATGTCACTTCATCTGGTTTTGCTGGTTTTCTGGGCCTGAAGCTGAAACACAACCGAGGCCTAGATGTTATCTTTAGTTTGACCAAAACTCTGTCTCTGTGATCAACAGACCCATTGTTCCTAAGATTATTTGATGCTGATCAGAACCTCATTGTCCTGAGGGCCTAATGCTTAAGGGAGTGGTTGTGTAAAAGAGAAGGGGGCAGGTGAGTCAGGGTGCTGGATGGAGCCAGTTTGAATCTGCTGTCTCAATTTTCCCCATTCGACTTGCCAAGGAATTTTCCTAGTTTCTTACTATCCTGCCTCACTGGAAGGAGGAAGGTTTTAGGAAGAAACTTCCAGAGCCTCACGGACAATCGCCCTGGGAGGAACTGCTGTTGTACATCCACCACTGTTGCCAGGACCAGGAAACTGCCCATTTGGGAAGCTGCCACCACCGCTGCCCAGTGCTCTCGAAGCTGGGGACTGGCAAAGCACTCAGCCCAGCTGTCCCCGAAGGACCCGCCACTGTGTCTGTGCTTCCAGAAAGGTCCTGGGGTGTGTGTCTGCCCTCCGAGTCTCCCAAGTGCCTCTGTTTGGCAGGAGTTCGGTCCCATGAGAAGCCCGGCCAGCTATCACAGCCCAGGCTTCACATGGTCATGCCCTCAACCTGAGGCACAGTGACCACCAGGCACGGCCACCACGACCGGGGATGCTTTGGACAGAAGACATGATTTCTGTTATTTTTCACTGATGGCAGGTAGTGGCGGGAAATACGGAGGGAAAGCCAGTCTAAGCTGTTGTCACTCTGGCGTAGTGGGTATCAGAGCTGGAGGTGGGGGGCTGAGGCCACCACAGGGTCAGTGGGAGTTTCAGCTGAAGCCTCCGACAGGCCTGGCTCCCCATCTCTTGTCCCTCAGAGCCTCCAGGGCTGTCGCCCAGACTGGACAGCAGGGCTCTCGGTGCTCAGCAGCCAGCCAGAAAGGAGATGGGGGACAGAAGAGGGCGCGGGACACTGGCCTGGAGAAGAGGGTATCTGAGCTGCAGGGCTAAGGGCTGGCACTGAGGGCCAGGCTGCCGGCAGTCTGGCAGGGATTGGCAGGGAGCAGCCAGCCACCGCCGTGGCTGTGAGGGTCTCAGGGCAGAGACTGCAGCCGCCCTCCATGGCACTTGTCCCTGCCTCTTCCAGCTGCCAGTGCTCTGCTGCTGCTCGAACACAAGGAGTCGCTGTACTGGGCGGTGGCCCAGCAGTTCTTTTCTCTTTTGCCGCAGGACAGGATGAGAGTGCCACCACCAGGCAGGGAGGGGAAGCACCTCCAGAAGGGGTGCAGGGAGGAGGTCAGGCGCAGAGGAGGAGCTCTTCTGCTCTCCCTGGGCTGAGTCTGGGTACGCGGAGGTGTAATTTCCGGTTTTATTTGCAAGGGGAACCTGGAAAGTTGACTGAGTGCCCCCCAGGTTTCAGTAAAGTCAGCCACTACCCAGACGCCATGTTTCTGGTGCCAACTGCACCGTGGAAATCGTGCTGGCCTCCGCCTGGTCAGAGGGCCAATCCGTGGACAGTTTCTGCTGCAGGAAAAGTCAGACGGGGAAGTAAGACACTTCCTTACAGGTGTGAACGCTCAGCGGCAGCAACAACGGCAGCAGCATCTAGAATCTGCGGTGCCTGCTGAGGGTCAGGTGTTTCGCTTTCATTATGTGATTTCGCTGAACAGCCAGGAGGGTGTTCCCAGTGCAACGTGGTCCTGGTTGGAAGTTCCTGGTCCAGACACATGGCAGTGGCCTCTTCTCCCAGCCTGTCCCTCTTGGGCTGTGTTTATTCTAGCGGTGGCCAGGACCTGGGCCCCAGCACCAGCCGCCTGTCCAGGCCCCGGAGGCGGAGCCCTCCATCTCTGGTGCAGAACAAAGGCTGACCCCCGAGGGGCCAAGGACAGGAGCAGCCGCTGAAGCAGGGTTGCAGGAAGAGGATTTCTGCCTGGCTACCAGCCTCTCCCTGCACTGGCAGCTTTGCAGGACCCGGATGTGGCTGGTGTGGGGGTGTGGGACTCAGGGTAACGCAACGCCTGCTGCCTGCCAGCCTTGGCCCCAAGATCTCGGGCAAGCCCTTAACCTCCCTCCCTTTGAAAATGGAGATAATCCTACCTACCCCATAGGCTCTTGAGAGGTGCAAAGTAGGTGTTTAATACAGGCCATTTCCCTGCCAGGTACAAACTAGCAAAATGTTGGGATTTGTGGGCATTGGCTTTGCTCCTGAAGCTGTGGGGGTGGGTTCCTGTAGGGGGAGCCAGACATGGGCCCTGCAGG